GGGGGGGGGGGGGGTTTTCCCGGGGGCCCCGACCGCAACTGCCTGTTTGGGAGGCTCGTCTCCCGGCACCAGGCTTTCAAAACAAAATTGCTTCGTTATCACTGTATATACCGCAGGTACTGGATATCCTGGATATCTCAAGTCTACTTCCATAAGCACTGAACTCTGTACACCACCGACGACAGAGACCTGCCCGTCACTCAACATGTTCAACCATTCCTACCTCCTTGTCTCCAATGCGCTCACTGACATCGCCCACTGCGCCCATCGACGGGTGCCAGTGAAGCTGCACCTTCTCTCCCGTGAAAAGCAAGTCCACTTGTTCCAGCGTGAGGTTGCGTGTCTCGGGATAGAAGAAGTAAATCAAGGGGAGGAAGCAGAAATTAAACACTAGCAAGCCACCGTTAGCTCGGGTTGATATCCCTCTACCTTCAGGGGGCCATTCTTACCAGCAAAGTAGATATACGTGCGATAGCCGATGCTGTCAATACTGACGGGCGTGATTTCCACGACAAGAAAGGTAAAGATCCCTGCAGATGGCAGTCAGCAAATCTCCTCGAATCTTGACCTTCACCCATCGTGATACGTACAATTGGTGGCAGTAGCCAATGCAGCAGCACGGCTTCGGATCGCCAGCGGGGCATATTCAGCGGGCACTGCGCGCAATCGGTCAGTGAAGCTTCGTCTCCGGAGGATGTGGGAGCCAGCTTACATAGCCACGGAATAGCCAGCAGGCCAACGGCGAAGAAGAAATTGAAGAGGAACAGCATCACGGTGGCCACGATACCAGCCGCATGGCCGCCATCGTACACAGTGCCAGCCAAGATAGCCATGCAGCCACATTGTCCCGCCGCCGCGAAGAGCATGAGTTTCCGACGACCCAGCCTGCGCAAATTAGCAGCTGAGCGGGTGAGCTTGAGAGCAAGAACTGTACCTATCAATAGTCCAGACGGGAACAAAGGTAGAGACAAAGTAGGCTACCCCGTTAAAGCCCGCCATCAGTAGGGCCAAGTTGTGGCTCATACCAACCGAGTTCTCGAAGATCACCGTGTTGTACTGCGTTCCGTCAGCAAGACATAATCAATTTAGTTTCAAGGGTAGAGTAGTGGTCTCACATAAGTGATCAAATTGACTCCCGACATCTGCTGCATGAACTGTCCCCCCATTCCCAGAAGCGTGCGGTAGAAGAACTTCTGAGGCCCGTTGCTGAAGATCATGCCGAAGGATCCTTCCTGGGATGCTGCCTGTTCCTCTGCAATAGCACGAGAGATCTCTGCTACCTCCGTGGTGACGATGGTGTCAGACTCAGAAATTTGGTCTGCGTTAGGCTGAACAGCCCAGATAATGTGTTGCGCTTCGTCGCGTTGGCCGTGGGAAATAAGCTTTCCTGTGTTAGCTCCCAAGTCCCAAAGCCCCTCGGGACAGCAAAACTCACCCAACGAGGCGACTCGGGCAAGGCAATCACCCCTAGAAGTGTGATGATGGCAAAAAGAATCTGCAGCGCGATAGGAAACCGGAATTGAGCTTCGTTGTCGACATAACTCATTCCATAATCTGAGCCCTTTTAGTATGTGTGGCGGGGCTGGGGAAGCAGTAGATAGACTAACCAACCCAGTAGGCTGTCATGACACCGAAGATGTTGATCGTGAGCTCGATCGCCAGCTATACGAGGTCAGCACCGACCATCGATGTTGTCAGCGAAGTCACATACCCCTTTTCCTCGACTGGATGCTTTGCTCAATTCCGAATGCCACACCGCTACTCCAATCAGCCTGCATCCTAGGGGGACGGTAGTCTGAGGACAGACGTACGGATTGTACTGGTATTGAGACCATTGCCGACGCCGGCCACGATCCGACCCACAATCAACTGCGGGATGCCATACGCACTGCACTGAATCGCCGCCCCGATACTGAGAATGATGCAACCTGCAATGATACACATCCGACGGCCAATCTTCTCACCCGCGAACAGAGCAATCAGGGCACCCAAGAAGCAGCCCTACTCCATAGTCAATTGGTGTGTCATTAGCGAAATCGAAGTGCCATCAACCTACGATCTCATAGATAGCAACCCTAGCCCCAGTTAGCTCGCTGCACACAACACTTCCGCAGATCTGAACCGACTTACACCGTGCCTTGCAGTGAAGAACTGCCATGTCCTGCGGAGGTCGTGTCAATCTCCGGGAATGTCCGCGTGAATGCAGTACCGGTCAAAAGACCTGACATAACACCTTGATCATATCCGAATCTAAGCCTTCAAGTCAGTCTTGGTCTGATAAAGATGGACGAATGCATTGGATGACTCACAGAAGGAAACCACTTCCTGCAGTGGCAGTAATAGCCAGCGACAGTGGCTTACCAGTGAGAACAGTCATGTCTTTCCGTAAAGATGTTTGAATTGTGCTTAAGGAACAAGGCTAGCAAACTAGGGCTGGCTCGCATTGACTCCGATCTATTTGGGGCTCCATCTACTTTTATAGAGCTGGGCTGGAGTAGGGTTAAAATCGCCGAAAGACGGCAGAAGGACGGGATAATAGGACGTCATTTTCATGGGGTGGTTTCTGCGGGGACGGACACGAGGAACCCGGGGTTGTGTTTTTGGGAAGCGGAGAACAACCGAAACCCTCTTTCCAAGGAATTATGGTCAAAGACGGAACCATAGCTTCCTTTGAAACTTCATGGTTGGATCCATGGTTATTCATGCTCCCAGAAACCACGTTTGTAGCGGTTCAACAGTTTGACGCCTTTTGGTTGTATCGCAAGTCAATATAGTGAGAACGTTGGCCTGGTCATCAAAGTCTGCATGCTCATAAGCATTGTCCCGAATGTTGCGCACCTCCATTCTGCACGACATCATCTGATTCATGCGACTATTCAACCTCCGCTTCATGAATTAGGCTGAGTGGGTTTCTGGCTTAGGGCATCACCAAGTTTGCGCTCGTATATTCCCCAGTTTGGTAAGCTTTGGCGCCTCGGCACGACCCACAGTGGGATGAGCCGAAGGGAATCGGCAAAGCCACGAGTTCATCATCCCGGACTTTCCCCTTCAGGAAAGCTTTAGCACCACCCGTCCTAGTGGCCGGTTACCCTCCCGCCCGCGTACTACAGTTGACTACATACCGGCAAGCTAACTACCCGTGGATGGTCTAATCTGTGTCTGTTACCTGTGTGGTGGCTACTGCACATACACCAACTCATCACAGGCCAGGTCATGAACAGCGGCGCTATACCATCATAGATCAGTGGAGCAGATAGCATAGCGATGAGAACGGTCCCAGCGCGAAACGCATGCTAGAAACGTTCCAACAGGATGTCTGTCCCACAACAAGTTTCCTCCTACTTATGTTAAGCATAAGCGCAGTCCACTCACCAACTGCACACTCCTCATATAACCGTAGTTTCTCCACGATAGCCCTCATTTAAATTCCCCCTCCCCCATACTCACCTAACCACCTCGCCTGCACCTAAAGTCCTCTCGCACAAGTTCTCACCATGTCCCCTTCCATCACCGACAACACCACACCCGAGGTCGCCCTCGAGCACACCACCCCTGCCGTCGCCGCCTCAATCCAGCCGCCGGTTATCGGGCGCACCAACGACCTCTTCTCGCTCGGCAATCGCACGGTCGCGATCACCGGCGGCGGCCGGGGACTGGGGATTGTGCTGGCCGGAGCCATCATCGAAGCCGGCGGCGACGTCGTGTGCCTGGATCTTCTCCCCGCGCCCAGCGCCGAGGAATGGGCCTCGGTCCAGAAACTGGCCAGCGCGCGGCGCCTCCACGCATCCTATATCTCGTGCGACATCACCGACGAGGCCTCCACGAGCCAGATCCTCGAGCAGATCGCCGCCGAGGCGTTGGGCCGCGATATGCCCCTGCGGGGACTCATCACCTGCGCCGGGATCCAGCAGATGGTGCCCGCGTTGGAGTACCCCGTTGACATGTGGAGGAAGATGTTGGACGTTAAGTAAAAGCTTCCACCACCACCACCACCACCACCAAGGCCACGGTTCCTGTGGGAGGATGTGATGTGTGAAATCTAACAAGAACCGGTATTCAGCGTGATTGGCACCTTCATCCCCGCCAAGCATTGTGCTCGCATCTTCAAGGAACAGAACACCCCCGCCAGCATTGTGATGATTGCTTCGATGTCTGGGCAGATTGCCAACCGAGTAAGAGACTCCCTTTTTTCCATTCCATCGACTGTGACAGAAGAAAAGCTAACAGGGCGGTCGCACACACAGGGTCTCACCTGCACAGCATACAATTCGTCCAAGGCGGCCGTCCACCAGATGTGTCGCTCTGTAGCACAGGAATGGGGACAAGATGGCATTCGCGTTAACACCTTATCCGCCGGAGTCGGTTTGCTCTTATATCCTCATGTGTCCAGCGATGACTGCTAACCATTGATTCAAATGCAGTATATTCGCACCGCCATGACGGATGCCTTGCTCGCAGAGAAGCCGGAGGTGGAGGAAACCTGGATGCGGGGTGCGCTGCTGGGCCGCCTGGGCGTGCCTGAGGACTTCAAGGCGCCCACGGTGTACATGCTGGCCGATGGCAGCGGATTTATGACGGGAGCGGACTTGAGGGTAGATGGGGGCCATTGTGCTTCGGCTTGATTGCGGGATTTATTCTGATAGATGGCGTTCAGGTTGATTGGGGAATGCATATCATTTAACTTCATAGGTTGTTTATCCGCGGTGGTCAATCATGGCCGTAGAGCGGCAGGAGCCAGAATTCTAAGGTGTCCAAAACGTCGAAATCATTGATCTGACTTTAGAAAGTCTCGACGTTCAAGGAAAGCCCTGGGTCCCACGGCCACAGTTCGGTTCAATTGCATGAAGAAAGTCGTATTCTTGATGTGCCCTGTGCTTATGACCTCTGGGTCTACGTTAACGGTCCCAAGGGCGAGTCGCTGTAACAAATGTCACTGTACGCAGAATTCCATTAGGCGATACGCCAAAGGATTATGACCGGAAAGGGTATGACGGGTTGGGTGCATGACTGTGGCACGCAGATAATGTCGCTTTCGGGGGAGTCAAGTGGTCAATATCAATTTCTATCATCTTCCTCAGCTTCCCACACCGAATCAATGCTCCATCGTCTCGAAGAGCCGTTCATGCAATGGTAGTCCATAACACCACTAAGATTGGGTGTCAAATTCTAATGCGGTGAGCTATAATCCTTACTGTCATACGTCCGAAGTGGAATGGTCAGCGCTTTTGACTTCACCATCAACAAGGTCCGGTCTCGAACAATCCATTAGCTTTCGATTCATCATTGTTGAATGTCATGGTAACATGGCAAGCAGTTAATGGCCGAGCTGCATCCCTCAGGCGTAGGCTTGCATCCAACACTGAGTAGAAAGGTTTGTTGGTTGTGGCACCGGAAAAACAAGATGGTGTGAGAAAATACCCAACAACGGTTGACGAGCAGCCAATGGGACAGAACGGTACGAGCACCCCAGTCTATCCTCATGGCTTCCGAGATAGTTAACGAAGATAGATGTCAACTGTTTGATCTCCGATGCGACCCTTCCTGTGCCAATGTGTGTCTCAATGTTTACCTTCTCTGCGGCATGGTGTGATGAAGATTGGATATCATGATAGACCCACCAGCAAAAGCCAGTCTGCAAGAAGAGCGGGGATTCACATACTTGAGCAGGGACACGTCTCCAGAAGGTCGAGCACTCTTGCACATAGAGGGGTGGACGGAAGGCCCATGCGAGTCTGAGCACGGTGCTGGTCACAGACCCCGCGCGCATAGTCCGTCATGCCATGACAACGGAGTGACTGACATTACCTTGATATCAATCCTTGACCAATCGTCGTTCAATTCGCTGAAGAGGTATGGATGCATGAGGATGCAATGCTGGCGCCAACCCGGCAGAGTTGAGATGAAGATAAAGTATGAAAACAAGCCGTGTGGAAGTCTGGGGAGATCCAGCCGCCAAACTAGATTGACAATAGAATTGAAAGCTCCCCGCAGGAAACTTTCCAGAGAGCCAGATCGTGTGGGTTCCCTGTACATCTGATTGACGATTTGCACGATGGAATCCCCGGGCGAGCCGCCACTAGGCAAGACCGGCAGATGTGTGCATTAACGCGGCCGATAACGACAAGGGTCCTGAGTATCTCTGACCTGGGGTGGCTTTCCGAGCAGTCGATTGGATTGGACGTAGTTTGATGAGGAACATGGTGTACATATTGTGTGGTGGTTCAAGGAGAGGTTGAGCTTTAGCGCTGGAAAATAGCGCGCGTTAATCCCTGAGGCAGTCATTATCTCGGCCTTGTTCGTTAGTTTGCAGCATTGCATGTTTGGTCTATTTGAGCGATAGAGACCAGTTTTCAAGCACTTTCGAAGGAGGAATATAAAGAGCATGGTCCCGATGAATGCTTGAGCTTCATTTCATTCGACAGAGCAGCCGACACCTTCTCGTCAATTGTCACACATCTTTGCAGATCAACCGATCTGAACCTGCATTCGAGCGAAACACCGTCTTCCCCTCATTCTCCCGGAAGCCAATCCACACCAGTCAGGTCTGCAGACTGATAATCCATTGCATTGGAGATCACACCTCTTTGCAGCCCGCTTGGGTGAGTTGAAACGTGTGGAGGCGGATAGACGTAGTGTGTGGAAAGGATGATTCGGGGTCCTTCAATGCAGCCGCGCACCTCTCGGGATCAAGCCATTTTAGGTCTAGCGCGTGACACTGACCTTGGATTCGTGACAGACCATCATACTTACATGACATGCGTCTTGTTCTTTTACCGTCCTAATACCCGTACGGTACGCGAAATCCGTCTGCCTCTCTGGACTGTCGGCGTCAATTCGAGATAAATAATAATCCTCACCCTCCACATCTCGCCCGCCCTCCATCCCTTAATCTCCTCCCCCACCCTCCTTCACTTCTTCTCCTGAAAAAACAGGATATCACGAAAGAAAGTTCCTTTCCGGTCTTTCTCTATTCTTATCACAGCTGCGACGTTCCCGGTTGGATCGCTTCAGTCACCTAGTCCCCGTCTCGCCCACTTCTCCCCCGGGTGTCGGCTGTCCCATACAAGATCGATCTATATACGACACCAGTGGCCCTTGTCTACTGCCACGCACGCACAACGTGACCAAGGTCAGGCGCATCCTTGCCAGAACAAATTGTCATCTGGCTCCCAAAGCCTCCTTTCTTCAGAGACACTTTGAGCACTCTTGTGTCCTACACATTACCTAAACCTCTCAAGACTCCGACACTTCTACCGTACATCATTTCAAAAATGCCGGCGAAGCCAATCCTCCACCCGTTACAGACCCCTCGCACAATGACCTTCCCCTCCGAACTTCAAGCGGACTCAGGAGCCAGTCTGTCCGGAGGAGGAGCAAGGGGCAACAGTGACGACGGCCTGTCGACGCCCATCACCCCACCCGCCGCCTACACCGAATTCCTCAAGGCCCTCACCCCGATCTTCTCCCCCGCCGACGGCAATGGGGCCACCACGCGCTTCGTCTGGGACAAGGCCACGAAGACCCCGACATCGCAGCCGGCCAGTGCGGTCAGCGGCTCTTTCAACTTCTCCGATGCCACCAGACCCGCGACGGCGTCGCTGCCGCCGCCGACGCCTTACGGCACGGTGCCCCCGACCCGGCGGGACATGATGAACCTGCGCCGTCTGCGCATCCCCCCGGCCATACGGTACTCGCCCACATTGGAGACGCCCCGGAGCGCGAACTCGATCTTGTCGCCCTACTCGCCGTCGGATTGGAAGCTGCGGTATTGGGAGGGCCCGCGGAGTGCGACCGCCAGCCGGGTGAGCGTGCGGCATGTGGTCACCCATACCGTGACATATAAGCGAACACAGCTGGAGGATCCGCCCAAGGGGAAGCGGAGAAAGCATAGTGAGGAGAAAGATGAACTGTGAAAGTTTGATTCTATTCAGTTTAAAGCGCTTTTTTCTTGTCTGGGTTAGGTAGCGCTGGGTTTGGCGTTGGGAGTTGGGGAGCGGGTTCATTGTTGGGGAGGATATAACAAATATGATTGAGTCTCTCGAAGACATTTGGAAGTCACTTATACTTTGACTTGAAGTCTGTTTCTCTATTCGATGAACATGAGAACGGGGAATACCCGCAGGAAGCGGCTACGACTGGTTCATTGGCAAACACAAGCAGACTTGACCAATGACGGACGATATGTAAATGGAGTCTAATCTACCACTTTCAGTGACGTCGGCATGAGTGTAAGTTCTTCGCTATAGTCGACCCTCCATCAATTAACACTAGAGCCATCGACACTGTTTCTTACCATCAACTTGGTCTGAGAAAGGTACATAAGGTACAGTACATACTGACCAACTGACCAACTTACAAACCTCCTCCCTGACCAACTCACCCTAAGCTCCATCCATACCACCCAAAACCCACAGACTCAAACCCACAATTGACTTCGGGCCGATACACCACCTTCAGCACCAATCCAGAGCCTCCTGCAAGGCATCTGCGCCGCATGCACACACCTCCCACCCCCCCTCAAGCCTACCGTAGGTACTCTGTATACAATCCGGGCCCCCTCCCAGATCCCAAGAACCTCTCAATCCCATTCTCCCCTCCAGCCATGACCACGTGTTTACCCTAAAGATCCTGCGACGCCAACAATCACCCATCCACAACCCATCTCTACCCACCATCATACAGTACAGAAGGGCATCAGCCCCCTCACCTCCTCCCTCAGCTAGCCTATTCCTGCTCACTGGCCCTTTTCAAGCATAAGCGCGATTTACGAGCTAGATGCCCAACCACGCCGGCGGGACCCAAGCATCCGGAAGCGCGCACTGACTGACGATGTGTCTATGGTAACAGCCTTCTCGCGGCGGTGTGGGCCGTTCACTCGCCCCAACCGTCCTATCCCATCTCAGGGAGATGAGTCGTGACCCGGCCCGGGGCAGTGGTAAAGATGACTATTGGGGGGAGAGAGGGAAGCCTGAGCCGGAAAGGTAATTCCCACTCGGGGAAGACGGGAGTGAAACCTTTTTTTTTCCGGGGGCGCGGTTGTCACTTGTGAGGGGAGGGGGAGTTTGTACTTTGGTTGGGAAGGGATGGGGTGTTGTCCGGGTTGGTTTGAAGATGCAGTAGAGTGAGGACATGACTTGGAGGGGTTAGATTCTGGACGTTGTTGTGTTGGTTGTGAGTCTTTGGGGGGGTTCGATGTGGACAGATGGTTGTGGTTGTCTGACGAGGTAGTAGAGAGGGCTGTTGTGTAGATACTGATGTAGAGGGGTGTATGTATGTATGCTTCCCAGTTGGAAAGCATCGCTATTTACTGAACGACCCGTCTATGTAGGAGAGAGTGTCATCAACAGCATCGATAAAGTCGAAATCCCAAGGGTCAAGAAGAAGAAGAAGAGAAGAGGAGAATCACAACCAAATACATAGTATGCTCTGTGGTGTACGGTAACCAACCCACCGTCAGCGGTAACGGTAAATAACCAATACACTCGATACCAACGCGAGCGCACGGCGGTAACCCTACCCTCCCCATTGGAACCATTTACGCCCAGAGATCGTGAGCAACCCCCCTTCCCCCCCCCCCCCCTTTCTTGTCTGTGGGCTTGCAATTCGACCTTTTAGTAAACTGAGCCACCCTCGAAAAGACTGACATTTACACTCTAACCCGCGTCCAAAGTTCCGGTGATTCGCCCCGTGGGAGCGTCAGGTCGAAGAAGTCTGCCGTGCTAAACGGTCGCCGGTCAACCCTGCCCGTGCCCGGGCACTGCGAGGAGAGCCCTTAGATCAATCTGTGATTTAGCACCTATCGATGGGACCAGGTCATTGGCCAGCAAAGCGCGCTGACTGTTTCATGTTTGCTCGCTGAAGAATTGCGGGCGCAGGCAAGCGGGATTAAGGGGTGGGAGATTTATGTAGTGTGTACTGTACATTAGATTGAGATTGAGCTAGAAATAGAAAAAAAAATACAAGAGTGAGATCTTAGTGATGAGATGGAGATGGCTTCGAGAAAACCTCACCACTTACCCTCCGTGATAGGGCTGGTCTGGTGCCAGGCATTCATTACCTCTACTGATGCGGCTCTTGAGTATCCTCGATGCTCCAGTCTTGTATCCTCAAGCTCAATGCTAGATCGAAGGTTGTTATGAGCAACAGGTATGAGTAGAATAGATACGCGCTTTAATGTGATCTTTTTCACCACGACCTTCAATCCCCTCTAGAACCTCCCACACCCAAATAGACAGTGTGCTAGAAGCTAGCTACGTACTTGGTACTAGCATTCCTCCTCAGCTCCGGCGTAGCAGCCTAGGTAACATCATACCTAGTAGCCTGGCCATGCAGACGAGCCAACCAGTAAGTAAGAAAGTCCCCCTCGGCGCCAAAACCCACCACACGTCATCTAAACTCGGACCCCCACATCGATCCTTATCCCGGCGGAACCAATGGTTCCAGAATCGGGAGGGGGGAAAGCCCGCCGACAGGACCCACCATCGCCCTAAGAAGCCTAGTGCCGGCGCTTAACTGCAGCTGCCACGATGTGGTCCCGGCGAAGTATTGTTGTACCTTCAGGTCAACTACTGTCACTACCACAGGGTGCAACAGCCCTGCTAGTATCGGTGCTTAGTACTAAGGTATACTATATTTAGAGAGACTAGACTACAAAATAGGGCACTATCCCAAGTCCTACCCATAGTGTCGAGAACACAGAAAAGGAAGAGCGAGAAAGAGTGACAGAAAGGAACACAAGATACTTACCAACAACGCCTAACCATGAAAACAAGCTCCCATGCAATTAACCTTTGTGAAGGATTTTCCACCCGCCCCGAAAAAACCACCAGAAAAGAAAAATTCAATGTAGAGACGAAAAATTCGGTTCATCACGCCCATAACGCCTTACAACCCCATAGATTTGCCGCCGTGATCTCAGCCGCTCGCACTTCGCCCCCCACCCCCCTCTTATTCGGAGGGGATCATCGCACGCGTGTCAACCTGTGCCCCTTCCTCTGAAAATTCCTATATACCAGATTCGTGCAGAGAGTTCCTTACGCAACAGGTTTAGCCGTCTGAAGGGAAGGAGGATGGAAGAAAAACCTGTGATGACTTTAGACTGGGATTGATAATTCAGCGGAAATAACCAACTACCTAATCAGCAGCGGCGGGCAGAGGAAAAAGCGGGGCAGGGAGTAAGTAAGTAGGTGGGCAGCGTCTCGCGGTTGGCCCAATCCGGTTGGATTCTTTGGTGTCTTCTCTGCAGGCTGAGGATGGATTGGCTGGCTGACTGATTGATTCACTTGACTATACACGTAACTCGACGGCTGGATGTACAGTATACTACCGTACTGTGCATAGACTTCTGTGCTCTGCAGTGGGAGGGAGGGGCAGCTGTTTTCCTAGTCTGCAGCATAGTCGAACAGTGCAAAGGTCACCAGGTGAGTGGCAGATGTGAGAGCCAGACACACATACACACACACTTCCTTTCCCTCTTGCTGGAAGGGCGGGTCGTGTCCCCAAAAATCCCGGATGTCTGCAGGCTTTCTATTTTCATCACAGGCTAAGGAAGTTATTTTTGGGTGATTGAAGAGACCCTGAAAGAGACACTCTGATTGGGCTAAGCGCAGAAGATGCTATGTATGCGCACTGCTATTCTGGGATGGAGGTGGGGAGAGGAGGGGGGAGATATTTTTGGTAACCGCTCTTATGCTGGCTGCAGTGACGATGGGCCATACAGTGGTTTGCGATCGCTGCATTGGGAGCTTATATCATGAGGTTGGAGCCGGAGATGATGAGAATCATTGATGATGAACGCAGATGCTGGTCCGAGTGTCGTCGTCGACAATGCTGCTTGGATTTACATTGCAACTGACTTGGTCCGAGGTCGAACATCAACAACACACCGGATCAGACTGTCGTCAGTCCTGTCAGTGCATCGAATGAACAACCCCTCCCAATAATAATATTCTCCGGACAATCCCCATGGATTGAATCTTGATTTGACTGGTGGAGCGTGCGTTCGTCAACCAGTCACAGTCCTCGACCTCATCGGGATTTTCGCAAGTCCGTGACGAATGGCTGGGGCTGCCGTGATTCTTAGCTGTCCTTCCAGCCCAGTCGATTCATGCCCCCCCTCATCGATATACCAGCGGTTAGCCAAGTTGATGATGTTGACTTTTGTGATGATGATTGCAGAAATCGAGTGCGTTGACTTTGCCCCTCTCTTTCTTTTGAGCAAGAGTCTACCAATGAACGTAGACGATTCGTCCCCTTTGGTGATACTCACAACGCGAGGGACAATTATAGAACAAATCATGGGCGGCGCGTCCGTTTCTTCGGGCAGTTTAAGCGCACCATTCCCTGCATGATCGCATCTCTTCATCACCCTTGCCCTTCCCTGAAGACTGTCCACCCGCGTATTGCCGCCCAAATGCTCGTCTCATGGCGGCGGTGGTATGGTATTGTTCTGTACATTGGGGGTTGCTTACCATGACCAAAGTTACGGACGTTTTCAGTCCGATGCAAGAGGAGTGATAAGCACACAGAGAAGAGGTGGTTGACCAGCTGTTGGCCAGATGGCTGCTTATAGAGGGAGAGAGCCCTTCTCGCATGAGTATATCATGGAGGGAACATTCCCACAGTGATCCATGACGAACGACACAATGAACCTGACCAAGGATATTGCTGACATGCCTGGCCCGAGTCCTCTTTGTCGCTCCACCATTCGTGGTCTCTTCCAGTGCCCCTCTTCGTTCTCGTCTCTGTCTTTGATCTCTCTTCGTACCTCAAGTGGGGTACATACAGTACTTCCTCGCTCAGCCTCGGGTGGCAGCCACGAGGCCAATCAGGCATCCCTCCAAGCATGAGGCATCACCATGGACTGTTTCTCTTCGACTCTCTTCGACTGGCATGTCTGCTGCCATGATGAAGGGCCTAGCAATCAACAGCAATGCAGTGATCAGGACGGACGTGGCAGAAACAGAACAAGAATGAAGGGGTGGGGAAATAAACATGGAAGAGAGAGAGAGAGAGCGTTGAAGCTGCGGTGTGATGCCAAGGCTGAATCTATAATTAGAAAAGCCCATCAATTTCAGAACCCCTCAAATCAAATCAAATCAAATCAATAATGCAAGTCAATCAATCATTCAATCAACACTACCACCACCACCACCACCACCACCAACGATCTTGACTTTTCTTCCATTTTCTATCCTTAGACTCTCTATTCATCTTCTTTGAGCCTCGTGGACGACAGAGCATCATCATCATCATCATCATCATCATCATCATCAGTCCCACTGATTGACACCAACACGAGGAATCATTCCATTTCGTCTGACCCGTGATCGGCGGTTTCAGTCCCTCCAGCATCTCCATCCCCGTTTCAGATGCCTCGTTCATCTTATCAGCGACAATTCACTGCCCTCGTCCGGTCCGCCTAGAAGGTCCAAACCTTCATCTTCCTCCGCACCATACAACGACCCGAAAGTACAAACAAACACAAAAAGACCCCCAAAGCCATGGCATACTCCCTCCCCACGCCTTTCACCCCCAACAACAGCGAATTCGCTGCCCTCGACCCATCGCGCGTCCCCGATGGCACCATATCCATCACCGCTCTGGCTCGCTTCGAATTCGAAGCCGGCAAGGGCAACGACGGAACCAAGATCCTGATGATCGAGTGGGAAGACGACGATCTCGGCCGAACGGGTCCTTCAACGGATAACAACAACAACACTAAAGGCGGCGGCTCATGGCACGTCGCCTGGGAAGGGAAACAGGCGGTCCTCCCCGCCGACGAGAAGACCAAGGACAACACGCGCCGGTTCTACTTCCTCCTCCCGCCGCACGTCACCATCCCTCCGACCGTGACGCTCTTCTACGAAGCCGCCCCCGCCGATCACGACCAAAATACTGCTGCTGCGGCGGCGGCGGCGACGGGAAAGGCCCCCGAGCCGCTGCATCTGAACCCCTTACCCGCCATCTTCCCGCCGGAGCTGGGGGCGGACGGCCGCTCCGCAGGCAAGAAGGGGGTGCTGCACACCATCTGGGCGAAGAAACGGCTGCAGGTGCTGGACAAGGAGATCCGCGACGAGTGTCTGGCGAATGTCGAGGGGATCGCGCTGCACATGGCCCTGCAGGAGAAGGAGTGGATCGAGACCAACTTCGGGGTCTCGTTGACAGAGCGCAGTCCGCCGGCCAGCCATCCGGATCCGCACTATCCCATGGGTCCGGCGACCCCGGTGTCGCCCAGTACCACAGGCGGGGGGAAGCTGGGGGAGAAGCTCCGGGGGTTGAAGTTGCAGACGGGTGAGAAGGAACTATCGCCGAAGGGAGAGGGTATGTTTTTCTACCTCCTGACTCAACCGTTTTGACCAGGCCCAACTACAAGTCCACAAGCTAACTTCTCACTCACATAACCTACAGGCCACGCCGCCACGGCCCGCCATCTCCTTTCCCCGCAGTCCCCAGACGTCGCCGTCTCCTCCTTCACTTCCTTCCACACTCTTCACAGCAACACCACCACCACCACCACCACCACCAACAACAACAAGAATCAACCAACTCCACCCCCCTCCGACCCGCTCACCCGCCCCATCATCGTCCATTACCCCCCCGAATCCCTCCAAACCCACCAATCCCCCGACAACCACCACCAGCACCACCTACAACAAAACCACCACCACCTCCACCACACAGGCTTCACCTCGATAGGCTCATTGACACACATCCACCCCTCCAGCGCCGAATCCGGCGAGGAACTCTTCGCCAAGGCCCTGAGTCCCCGCACGCCCGACCTGCCCCGGAGTCCATTCTCCTTCAGCCCGGGGACCCTACATATGTGAGATTAGTCCTTTCTCAATATTCTGCATCTGCGACTTGGGTTAGGCTTTGTGTTATTCTCTGGAAGGTTTGTCATCGTCTATAAATAAGCCTAGCATGCATTTACTACATCACCTTCGTTTTTTGGTTTTTGACTCTCTGCATGATGCTGTTGCTGTTGATATATTAGCCACCCTCGCTTCACTTGTGTGTATATGTGTGTGTTTTGTTTGATGTTGCTGGTTTCCTTTTGTTTTTATGATTCCCCCACATATCAAACTTTATAGTCTATTTTATGTGTTTTACCTGTTTTCGTCTTCTTCATGATCTAAGATTCGAAGATGGGGAGGGAATCCCGGTCTCTTCGTTCTTGAATCTGTATATAGATGTTCGTATGAGTATGGCTGTGTGCTTTTCTTGCGCTGTATTGTAGGGGCTTAAGTATGGGGGGAGGGTCCGGTGCAGAGCTTCCATTCCATGGCTAGGGTAAAGCATAGGGAATAGCGGTATCGGCACCAGCATTCTGTTCTCTCAGAGAGTGAGAGAGAGAGTAACGCAACGGGCTCGACGATTTAGAACCCATACACTTGGGTAGGTGGGCAGATGATAGGTAGACAGGTAGGTAGAATTATCCCATTTAGCATCACAACCTCAAAGCGCTCGAAGACTTTTGAACAGCCATCCATGCAATAGTACCTAGTCCACATGAGCAGTGCAGCGCAGCGCAGCGTTAATAGCTAGCTAGCTCGTATCCGACAACAACAACAACAACAACAGACAACAACAGCAGATCCTCCTCACGTCTTCCCCCTTACCCCGACCACACTCACACACAAGCAACCAATCTCACTAATTCTTCTTCCGCGAGCTCGCCAGCCTCGTCACCCTCCCCGTCGTCGTAGCAGAGGAAGCACCCTGCTGCTGCTGCTCCTCCTCCTCCTTCTCCACAGCCGCATCCTCCTTCACCTCCTTCTCCTTCTCCTTCTCCTTCTTCGAGGAAGAGGAAGAGGAAGAAGCCTTGAAACTCGCCAACTCCTGCGCCTCCTTCCGCTCGGCATACCACTGGCCCGCCTGCAAGACGAGCACCCCCACCAAGACCAGCGCCAGGATCGTGTTGCTCGCCGCGAGAACCTTCAGCGAATCCTCGCGACCGAGGATCTGCCCTTCCTCGGCCGGCGCGTCACTGCCAGCACCAGCACCGGCGGTGGCGGCGGCGGCGGTCGCAGCGAGCAAATCATCGCCGTAGGTACCCGCGCTGACCAGCCGCAGTCCCTTCACGATATTCGCAATGTACACCGTTACGCCGCACATGTACAGGACCAGGCTCGCGCCGTCGAAGAGCATGTTGCTCTCCGAGGGGCGGTAGAGCTTGGTCACGAGGCCGGCCAACCCCAGAAAGATGACGATGTGGAGGATGCGGGGGATGAGGGGCGGGGAGGCGTGCAGGAAGCGGAGGTGGGATTCAAAGTAGTCGAAGTGCGTGGCGGGCGTCGGGGTCGTGGACCAGAGGATCGGGTAGTCGTAGGGGAAGAGGGAAAAGATGATGCCGAGGAAGAAGCTGGTTGCTATGGGTTTTCGTATGTGAGGTCAGTGTCTAGTGTGCTGAAAAGGTGGTGAAGATATTTGGGTTGCTGCTTACGGCACACGATGAGAAAGGTCGCAAAGGACCCGTTGCGGAAAGCCATGACTGCAACCTTGAAGGCTTGAAGTGCTCCGGTGCGAACACTACTTGGAGGAACGGGCTGAAAAGGAGTGGAAACAACAGTGTTCTCCGTCCTGTTTGTGGTGGTGGTTTGATCGCAACAGAAAGCAAGATCAGCCAGGACCGAGGGGAGAGGATGCGAAAGTGCAGTCGCTGCCGGAGGTTGAGAGACAAACCCGGCTTGGGGCTTGGCGCGCCTTCCCCCCCCCCCTAGCTTGTTATGCTTATCAACCACACCAACACTTCCTTATCAATGACTTGGCTTTGTTTTGCTGTTCCTTCGTATCGTCTCTTCCCTCCATATCCCATCCACCCCCCTGGCTGCGATAAGCCAACTTTTTTTAGTCACTATCTCCAGCATGTATGAAATGTATAAATATTTATGAAATATATGAAATGTAATAAATGAATAGAAAGATCACAAAAACTTCAATGGTATCTCCCGGTAGCCCCGCAATGCAATAGACTCAATCAGAGGAAAATGAAACAATGAAAACATGCTCCTGGAGCCAGTTCGCTCATCGCTGATACCGCGGTAAGGACTCGTCGCCATGCGCCATGCCACCCACCAAGTGATGGTCTTCTTCATCATCATGAAAAACCGGCGCCGTGGGTGCGTCACCCGACTCAGCTGGTGCTACATCCAATTCCTCGGGCGCGCTGGCCTGCGCCATCAGTCGCCGTCGCTCCAGCTCTTGTTTATCATCACCCGTCTGCGCCTCGCTGGCAGCCATGGCGCTGCTGCCAGGCACTACCGTCTGCATTGACTCGGCGGAGATGGCCGGGCGCGGGGTGGAATTCTCAATTGGCGAAGGCAGATGATGGTAATCCTGGAGGTGGTCATCTTCCGGTAGCACTGGAGCCGTCGGCATTACCAAGTCCGACGATCCGACTCCTGGGTCATCCTCCAGAGGCTGGCTAGGGAGAAGCATCTGCTCAGCACGCTGTAACCGTGCCTTTTCGTCCATCGGCTCTTCTGACGGAGGAGTAAAAGCCATCTCGCCGAGCGATTGATACGACTGCGGCTCATCCCCATACCCGGGTCCCGGATACTCAGGCCAGTGTGACGGATCATGGGAGTACGCCTGATCTTCAGGATACTCTGTTTCACCGTTGGGCTGCGAATTGGGCTCAGGTGGCCACACTTCTCGCTCGGTGACGGAACTATCCTGCGAGGGCTCATCTGGTCCTGCCGCCACTGATGGCGCAGATTCCGCCGGTTTGACTCCCCGCTGCGAATCTCGCGTGCCAATCACAACTTCAAAAACGACCGCCACAACACCTTTCTCGCGCCGAATTTGGTCCGTGTCCAGGATATTGCCTGACCAGTTGGCTGTGATTGCACTGTTGTTGACATCGGCCGGGTTCAGCACTTGTCCACTGGGCGAATAATTACCACCCGAGGTGACCATATTAAACCGTGGCAGAAACCGGTCGGGAGAAGTGAGCTTCCCCCGAAGATCAACCACAACCTCGACATAGTATCTGAAATTAATCATACTTCCTGGGGTACGCGTGATGGTGGGAAAGGTGTCTTCGGGTACACGGATCGAGGTCTTGATTACGGCCGTCATGGTCACCGGGTCCACTATAAGAGGTGCAAAGGTCTGCGTCAGATCCTTTCGAAAGACCCCCGTGGTGCGACTAGAGCCGAGGGTTAGCCCTCCCAGACCCGTCCGAGAGCGTGGATAGTAGTCCTCATAGACGGGTTTCTTTCCGTCCGGTTTGCCCATAGGAATTGCCGGATGCAAATCGATCCGTCCCTGGCGGTAGAGGGTTACAATTATACCATGCGCGCTGCGCACTTGTTTGCAATGGTTGATGGTTACCATGATAGGTAATGTATCTCCTGGCAGCACGCCCGCGCGCAAAACTTCGGCCTTCGCGGTGATGATTCCGTCCGTGACCGATGGGGTAATGCTACGAGCCTCACTATTGCGCATTCCGGTGCTGGTCGACGAGCTTGGATCGCTGGGAACTCGAAAGCTCTGGCTGCTGTTGCTCGGTCGACTGGAGGAGCTGACGTTGCTGGGTGCTGGACTGAGCGGCGGGCGATTGTCGGTCGAGTTCTCGCCATTTTCCGGGGAATCGAGCGACTGCGTATCGGGCGCGTCAGATCCTGCTGACTTGGCCTTCGCTTTGGACTTGGCGCGTCGAGAGATTGGTTCGAGGGTGACAATTCGAGGTTTGGGGCGAGGAAAGGGGGCAATATCGATGTTTTCCAACACGGTGACGCGTCGTCGGCAGGTAGAAGTCGGGTTAATCGTGGTCGGCTTGGTTAGGGTGGACGTAAGCATATAGGAGATGGTCCCTCGTTCGAACTGCGTCCGAGTCATGATATCAGCACCGGCCACTTTCAGCAGGCAGTTTAGGTTGTCGCAAGGCTCTTACATTGATGCTACTGGGTAGCGCATACGGTGGGAAAGACATCTCGAAGCGGAACTTGTAGACACCCTCCTTGAGACGACCCTCCCCGCACAGGACGACCTCATCCTCAAACAAGGTTGACAAGCCATTTCCCAAATATTCCGCCCCTCGACGCCCGCGTCCGGGACCCAGAAAGCCCAACTCCGGTGATGATTCCCCCGTCGGGACGGTGTTCTTGTAGACTTTGACATAGCCATGCAGACAAACGACGAGATGTGTGATGCGAACGGGCCGAACAACGGTTAGCACGACCGTGCCGGTGATGGTGTCACCGGGGAAGTAGGAGCGCCAGGGATCGTCAGGCTCAATGTAGAAGTCGGTGATGCTGCGATTTCGAGGGCCGAGTTGGGAGCGGAATTTGGCTAGGAGGGAGGAGCTATTCCGACGGAGCGTCGAGGAAGGTCGAGAAGGGAGAGGGTTGACGGACATGACACACAGCCACTACGTCGCCCAATCCATACAAATGGCGAGCGAGATGAGGTGGCTGGCAAGCGGCGAACACAATGGACGTAGAAGAATCCAGCGCAGTCAATTGAGGGCGAGCAAGAGGACAGGGAGAGTGCCGAGCCAGAGAGGGAGCAAGGAGGGGAAGGGAGGGGTGGGAATCAAGAGTAGCCTCTCAGCGCAGCGTACTGCCGTCGAATGACGAAAGCCGTCGTTGATTCAAGGTCGACGAGGCAGCAAGGGGCGGGTAACGTGAGGAAGGATGACAACTTAGAGAATAAGTCCCGACCAGAAAGGAAGATGGGGATGCGATCGAGACAGAAGAGAAATTCTCCGTTCCTAGCATCAAATCAAGCAGGCAAGCAGGCAAGCAGGTCAGCAAGCAGTCAATCCCCCGGCAGGTCCGGCCCGATCTGGCCGTCGGGCGCGAAGGCAGTCAGCAATAACCACCAGGTTCTTTCAACCTCTGTAGTTAACGCAGCTGGAGAAATTGACTGGATGGCGCGCAATTTATGAGAGGTTGCGTCGCTTCAGCCTAAGTTGTAAAATCACGCAGAGGACTGAAAGGCGCGTGGGGAAGAATCCCCAATCCGGGGTGGGGAGGGGAAGACGTGTTCGGGAAGGACCTTTCTTGTCCGACCGTCAGGAAACTTAGCAAAGGCTAGCTAAGCAGAAAGAGGCAATAGAAAGAAGGAAAGAAGGAAAGAAGGGGAAGAATGAAGAGAAGAATTATCCGGGGGGAGGGAAGGGGAGGGGAGAAGAGAGAATTGTCAGGGATTAAGAGTCGGGCTGACTGGTCCGCATCATTTCTTCGGGATGGATGGAAATGCGAATGAGAGGAGCGAGACACAGAGAGGAAGAGAAGAGAGACAGGTAGAGGAAATTAGAGGGACTAGTAGAGGGAGAAAGAGAGCGAGAGAGCGAGAGTGGAGCTCAAGTGGGAGAAATGACAAGATGAGATGGATGGATGGATGGATGGATGGATGCTAGAAAAGCCCCCCTTAGGCTAGGATGACTAGACTTGACTAGTAGTAGCAGTAGGTCCGAACCCAAAGGGCGTTTTTGGACCGTGGAGGGCCAAAGCTTAAGTGGAAAATAGTGGGAGGGGGGAAAGAGGAGATGCAGGTAGTTGATGCAGGTGATAGAGAAGAGAGTGAGGGAGGGAAGAGGAGGGGTAGAAGAAGAATAAAATTAGGGGGGGAAAAGGATTAAGATAGAGGAAAATAGAAGACAGAAAATGGATTGCAATAGAAGGGAAACAAAAAAGGAGGATGAAGATGAATGTAGTCTAGAAATATTGTAGTGAGCGAAGTGAGTTGAGTGAGTGGAAGGTCGACCCCCCGGGGGTATGAATTGGGATGGGATGAGATGGAATCGGGGAGTGGGTTTGAGTGCGAGACAGAGACAGACAGACGGGGAGGGGGGGGAAGGGAAAAGAGGAGAATCGACCACGGTAAGTGCAGATAAGCAAGAGGAGGCGAGACAGTCAAGCTTCTCTTGGGCCGTTCGTGGCTCGGCAGTTTCCACTCACTCACTGCTCGGCTGGAGCTGGAGCAGCCTGGACTGGAGCACCACTAATTACTGTACATGCCCTGATTTTCTCCATCTTATAAATCAACAACAACAACGACAACAACAACAACACTGAGTAACTTACACTAACTACAGTACAATCATCATCATCACCATCCCCCTCACCCTCACTCAAAGATCTCCCGCAACCCCTCCCCCTCCACATACTCCTCCTCCCCATAACATTCGCGCTGCAGCGCCCGCAACACCTCCCGATCCCCGCCGGTCAGCCGATCGACAAACCCTTCCAGCACATAAATATTCTCCGTCCACATCAGCGCCTGACGCCGAAACTCCTCCGTCTCCTCCACCACGCACGACAAGCTTTTCTCCTCAACAACACCACCACCACCACCACCACTGGATCCCGAAACCGCCGTCACCTTCCCCTGCAGATGACGAATCTCCTCCTGCAACTCCACTTTCCGTAGCATTAGCCGCTCCCTCTCCTGTTCCCTATCATACCCAATACCACCACCACCACCACCACCCGCCTCCCTCACCCTCACCCTCTCATCCTCCACCCTCTCCCTCTCCTCCGCAGCCTTCCTCTCCCTCACCAACGCCTCCAACTCACTCACCTCCTTCCCCACCAGCTCCACCTCCGATTGCACCGCACGCAACCGGCTCTCGCGCTCGCGCTTCGCCTCCCCCGCGAAACACCAGTACCAGTTCAAACTCCCGATCTTCTCCATGCGAATCTCATTCTCGTCCGCCAGCTCCTGCAGGAACTCCTTCACTTGGATCGCGTTGATCGAGGCCACCGCCGGCAGGGACTTCTCGAGGTCCTTCAGCGTGTGGCAGGTGCCGCTGGCGCGGAGGTGCGAGACGATCAGTGCCTGTTTGGCGCTTTTGGTGAGTTTTGGGGGCTTGAGTTTCGGGATTAGCTGGGCTGTCGGTAGCGAATTGTGTAGGAGAGGAGGGGGGGGGGGGGGTCAAGGTAAGTGAGGTGTAGTGTGAGGTGCTAGTCGGGGTGGGTGGACCCCCACTCCCAGTCGGCTTACCATGATTGCTAATCGCAAGACTTGTTTGTGAAGACGTAGACGTAGTCGTAGTCGTAGTCTTGTGGATCTGAGTCAAATAATGGCAGTTGCTGGTTTGTTTGTGTGGGATCAGCACTTTGGAGACCAGAATGGTGATTGTGATTGTGAAGGGTGAAAAGGTGCTGTAGTGGTGGTGGTGTGCCATTTTGCTGTAATTTACCAGGTACGGCAGGTACTCACACAGTGAGCTCATCCTCAACTGGATGGACCATCAACCAGGCACGATGTGTGCCTGAGGCTGGAGAGAACAACAGTCTTTGGTGGAACAAGATGGATGGTCCGTACTGGCCAATCTACCTTAACTTACTGCCTACGCCGCACGAAAGAAGACAATCTCACGCATGCCGAATTGGCACTAGGACTTTTTCAAGGTTAGAAGACCTATCAGCCCTATTGAGACAGTACTCAAAGTAGACAACCTATCAAGTTCATGTTGACGCCTGCCACCCATGCACCCCTCCCCCGATCAGACATGCACCTCCCGGACAAAGCCCCCCTCCTTGGAAGTCTCCTCAATGTGGTGAATCTCATTACCCCCCTTTCCGACTCCGGCCACTCCTCCCACCACCGCCTGGTCGCCATCGAAGTGCTTCGCGATCTCCTCAAGGGGGGTGTTACGGGTCTCAATGTAGAAAAACCAGACGACCGTCAACTCGACCCCGAGCCAGACGCAGTAGAAGATGTAGTACTTCCAGCCCAGGTTGTCCAAGGCAATGGGGTTGATGTATTGGTTGAAGAAGACTAGATTGGAGTTAGTGTTGGTCCTTATCATTGGCCTTCCGGAAAGAAAAAGAAAAACTCACGTGCAGCATCGATGCAGAACCACATCACTGTCATGCCCTTAGCACGGATACTGTAGGGAAGAATCTCCACCGTGTAGCCAACCAGTAGGCCAGACCAGGCGACATTGTAAAAGACATAGTAGATGTAGATCATCGCCACGACGGCGTTGGCAGCCCCGTGGTTATGAGCAATCTCATACCGCGCCGAGCAAATGGTCCAGATGATAAATGCGACCAACATGCCACTCGTGGAGATCAGGAAAAGCCGGCGCCGGCCGACCTTGTCCACAACAAAGCACATCGAGAGAGCGACGATGAAGTTCAAGATCTGGAGGCAGCCGTTGATCAGGTTCTGCTCGACGGACTTGGTATATCCGATGGAGGTCAGGATCTTCGCAATGTAGTACGAGACCAATCCGTTGCCGGACCACTGCGAGAAGAGGCCCGCAGTGATCAAGATGATTACGCGGTGACGGTTTCCTTTGGTCCGGATCAATTCCATCCAGCTGTTGCTTTCGTACTCCTTCTCCAGTCGGATGGTCTCCTTGATCTCGTGCATCTCCAGCTGGACGACTTCGTCCTCCTGGTTGCCGTTGGCATGGCAGTCCGCCAGGACCTTCAGGGCCTGCTCATGTTTGCCCTTGTAGATCAGGAACCGGGGAGACTCCGGGACAAACCAGATGAAGAGGATCTGCAGGATGGATGGAGCAGCCTGGACGATCGTGGGTGCCCGCCAGGACCAGTTGTTTTGAATGTTGTTCGTGCCGAAGGTGAGCCACGCGGCAATAATGGCGCCCACGTACCATGTCGCTAAGACAGGAATCAGTATTGAACGGACAATCAACATAGTATCAGAACCTACTGTTGTAGATCGTGGTAAAAACGGCACGATGTTGCGTATGTACAAGCTCCGTGATCAGTAAGGGTGAAGCACCATGCGCGATGGCGACTCCGAACCCGATCAAGAACCGGGCTGCCAGGAACATGCCATAGTTGGCACTGACGGCCTGCAAGACGACGCCCAAGATCCTGACCACACAATGAGCATAGCACAGAGTCGGAACAGTAGCTTGAGACACTCACATGATGAGGCAGCCGATGAGAACTCCCATCCGCCGGCCGAGGTAATCCGCTGTATAGGGCACCGCAGGCAGCGCCGCCAATGAGCCCAGGGACATGATCGCACTCAGGATGCCAAGCTTTGAGCCACCAGGGTTATGGAAGTAGTCTTTCCAGTAGTACAGGGTCTGAAGACCATTCATCATCGACCCATCGTAGCCGTTCGTTGCCTGAGACCCTGTCAGTAATGTGTCATGCATCGGGAAACCCTCGCCGGCCAAGTGTATGCACATACGGAAGTCAATACGACAAACATGAGGCAAATGTACGTTTTCCTCATGCCAGGATCCTTGTACCATGTCACTCGGGGAAAATGCTGGCCAGCGAGCTCGAAGGTCCCGGAAGAACCCATGGTGACCGTTCAATGCGTAAATCCAGAGGCGTGGGAAAGGTACTGTAGGACACTCAGCCAGTTTTCTGCATCAGAGTTCCAGAGAAAGAGGACATCCTTGAGGCGCGGGGACAGGCTTAAAATCTAGTGTCTGCCAGCTTTACCATCCGGCTATTTGGCATACGAGGAACATGCAGAATGTCCACCGGTCTAGGAGAGCTCGCGAGCTCGCGGCTAAACCTAGGTAACGCCTAAACAGATGCAGTCGCCTGCGAATAGCTACACGGGGGAAGAATCAGGGCCTGGCTCTAACATTATCCAAAGGGAACGACGGCCTAGTCCCAAAGTCCGGTCTGGCAGTGAGCCAAAACTGAAGGTTGGGCCGGGCCGAGAGCCTAGGCATGTTTAGAAGATGCTAGCTAGACGAGTCGACCACGGCCAACCACCCTGATTCACAGACTGGAGATGTGATCTTGATTTAGGCTAAACATTGAGCATGGAGCTGGTGCCAGGGAGAGGCCCACCACGATCATCCCACCGAAATCTGGGGATGCGGTCCGGGGTGCAGAGAGTGGAGGGTCTAGTTTCATCGACCCAAGCGTAAACGAGTGTCTAGTCCACAAGTCGCAATGGCCAAGACCTTGGCCTGCGCCTCCCGGGACGGATTTGACATTGCGTTACAGTTCCCGATGATGGGCGCGACTGGAGACTGGTTGGCCACGTTGGACGAGCCCGAGCTAAATTAAAACCCTCGCTGGAGGCGTAAGAGCTAGGCGAGTGATACGCTGGCCACTTTCCACAAGCAACGGATAATATCATGCGCTCTCAGCTGATGGGGTGAGGTGGTCACTTGACACATGCCACTGCGTGCTGACAGTGTTCCGTCTGTGGCTGTTTCCAAATTACCCAACTCGTGTTGTTGGCTATTAAGCATCTATAGGTAAAGTGGTTCATGGGTAGTTGAACCGTGCCTCGGCCATTGACCTGGATTCATGAGTTTGGGGCTGTGGTTCAAGTCATGCGAAAAGAGTTTCAGGTGGCGATACAAACATTCTTTTACATGACCTGGGGCTTGACCCTGCATACCGTCTAGGCCATGAACGCAAGGACAGGGTGCATTCGGCGGTGGGGATGCGCCACGCGGTATATGCAGTGTATCTTAGCTCGAATTGGCTGGCAGTATAGGTTTCCTTAACCAAGTAGAATGCCCCCTCAAGTATGCTGAGTTGCCTCTCCGCTGACGAACCTCCAATCAGCAGGAAGGGGGGAGAGATCGGTTCGATCACAACCTCAGACCTCATAGTAGGTCATCAAGCTCGGTGTCCATATCGCTCGTCCAAGCCTTCCGAGCCAATTTGCGCTTCTTCTGTCGCTTTAAGGGAGCCTTTATCTCGTCACCCGAGCTGGCCATCATACTATTCTGTGTATTCGCCCGTTTGCGATCTACGCGCCGGCCCGATTGCGAAGGCAGCCGATCCTCGTCGGTAGAAATTTCCTCCCCTTCGACGAAGACCAGGTCGCCCGTCTCACCCAGCGACTCTTTGGCCATCTCCTCCAACAGTATCCCCATTGCGATTAATGCGGTTTCGTCCATACTGTGGTGGTCGTCCTGGCCGCGGTCAATGGTCGCGTGATCGTAGAAATCGGCCGAGTAGGCATGTACAGCTTCTAGCAACTCGGACGAGGGAAGCTGACGGTCGGCTGGGAGGGATTCATGGGCGAAATAGAAGTCGTTTTCCTCGTAGCGAATGGGCGCATTCTGCCGACGGAAAAGCACCTCTTCAGGGCGAACCGAACGCCTGCTCGACGAGGCTGTGTCGCGGTTCTTGGAGGCATACGGCACGGCGGGTAGAAAACCATGCGCGTTAATCCGGCCTTGACATTCGGATCGTCAGATTGCACTGGCTGTGATTAAGAGTGTATGATAGAGAACGCCTGACTCACCTGCTACGGCATCGTAAACTGTTGCCAATCGTCGCTGTTTGGTCACCTCCGCCTCATCCTGTCGGTCATCCTCCGGCTCGTCTCCGAGGTCGGGCGGCTTGACAAAGGAATTCTGGCTGAGCGCCAGAGATCTACCGTGCGACATAGCGATAGCCGTCGGTGCAGGACAAGCTCGACATGTGCGAGAGCATCAGGAAAGTTGCCGCGCCACTGGAAGATGGGGGCCGTGCCTCGCTGCTGAGATTAGAGACCGGGGACCGTCTGGATCCTGCCAGGATAGATTGTGTCTCTGATTTTGGTTTGGTTTGCGACAGTCGGACCCGGGCCAGAGCGGGGAGAATCACGTCTTTCCACTTTAGGACAGCTTCCCGGTTCAACATTCTTCCGTCCCCGCAGCCGAGGGAGGCACTCCTCCATCAGCGCAAGCTGTGATGAACGTCACCTCACAAGACCTAATAACTATAATCTGAATGCGATATATCCCGATGAATGAATGAATTCTTACATCCTCAACAGGACTCTGGGGTCCATTCATCCATCCACGTTTCATGTCGCGCAGACAACTCGCCTTGTCCTAAACCTTGAGCCGGCGCCCGGTATACGCTTCTCCAGTCAGCACAATACTCAATTGGCGCATGGTCGATCCCAAGAGATTCCAGATGGGTCCTTGGACTTGGGCTTAGAAGAAGAGACGTTTGCTCATCGAGCCGGAGTCAAAGTACTTGCCATTGATCACAATGAAGGCAGATTGTACGCCCCCTCTCGTCCCCAGTTGCAAGTCTTCATACTGAAGGCTATCTCAGCATGGTCTCCGGCGGCGCAGACCCGTCCATTCACCTATGGGATCTGGAGTCCCGCGGATCCGAGCTGAATCATGTCCATCGCTCGGTGGCATCGGTCAATAAGGCGTCGCATGAGGATGCGCACACGCATGCAATCACCTCCATCTCGATCTACCCCTTCGATCCGACGCCGTCGACCATCCTGACCACCTCGCACGATGGCACGCTCAAGCTCTCCGCACTGTCCCCTGAGGCCATCATCCCCGTGCACACGTTCCGCCTCGACTGCACGCCATACACCCACGCCATGTCCTCGCACCCGGGCGCCCCGCTCCTCATCGCCGTGGGCACCTCCGAGAAAGCCGTGCGCCTGCTGGACCTGCGCTCGGGGCTATCAACGCACGGCCTGCCCGGCCACGAATCCGCGGTGCTCTCCGTCGCGTGGGCGCCGCACCAGCCGCATATTCTGGCGACGGCCTCCACGGATAACCGGGTGATCCTCTTCGACATCCGCCGCGGCGGGCACAACTCCGCCATCGCGGCGCTGCACATGGACGACGCGGTGGGCCTCGTGCGTGCCCCCACCACCGCCCCGCCCTCCTACCAACCGCGGCCGGCCTTCTCGCCGCACGTGCGCGCGCACAACGGGGCCGTCACGGGCGTCCGGTGGACGTCGACCGGCTCGCACCTCGTCACCGCCGGGCAGGACGCCCGGATCCGCGTCTGGGACGCGGGCACCGGGGCGAACACGCTGGTGCACTTCGGGCCCCGCGTGCGCAACAGCGTCTCCTCCCACCTGGCAGAGCGGGCGCCGCTCGTCGTCCCGCGGGGTCTCATGGCGGCCGGGCAGGAGACGCTCCTATGGCCGAATTTCAACGAGCACGACGACCGCGGCGAGATCTACATGTTCGAGCTCCGCGAAGGAGCGTACATCAAACGGCTCCGGGTGCCCGGACTGGCGACCACCGGACCGCAATTTCGTGGCCGGTCGACCGCATTGAGCGCCGCACGGATCAACTCGCTTGCCTGGCGCGGCAACGGGGCATCCGGCGAGGGGATCGAGATGTTCTCCGCTCACGGCGACGGCACCATCCGCGGCTGGGTGTCGAGGGAGCCCGAAGGGGAACCGGACGAGGCCGAGGAGGCCGAGCGAGCCGACCGCAAACGCAAACGCGATGTGCTGAACGAGATCTACCGTGGCTTTATCGGTTGATCGTGCTGGTATACACACATATATACCAATGTAGCATACGCAGATACATCCACATGAATATACATGCTCATTTATATTCAACTACAGCGGATGGAATTGATCATGACCATATCATGCGATTCTCATTATACAACAATCAAGGCCCGTCCAAAACCCAGGCCGGTCAACCTTCAAAAAAGATCTATAATACATTTGATTCCATCCAAAATATCGTTATCCATCATGCAAAGTCGCATACCAGCCGCGACTCAATCATCCCATCCCAAAAAGAAGTCGTCATCACACAAGACAAAAACGATCAACACCATTTACTCGTTCCGAATCTGATGCTCCCCGGCCGCGTCATCCTCCTCGGCCGCGAAGCGGTCAAAGGCCCCGCGGTTCATGTTCCGGTGCTTCAGGTCGCGGCCGTGGCCCTTGGCGCCCGGGTGCTGGTTGCCGATGAAGGTGCGCTTGGACTCGCCCTCGGCGGGGAAGGAGTTGCCGGTGCCGGTCAGGACCTCGCCGGTGGCGCCCATGTCGCGGGCGCTGCGCGGCATGTCGGTGGCGTTGTCCGCGGCGAAGGCGGAGGAGGGCTGGGCGACGCCGTAGTTATCGAAGCCGCCGTGCTCGGCCCGCTGGTCCGGGCGCGGCACGGACGGGATGGTGTTCTGGAGGCCGGCGTCGTTGGGGATCGAGGTGCCCGTCGGGGCCATGTCCTCGAGTCTGCCGCCGCGGTGAGGAGAAGACATTATGGTGGTGGTGGTGGTGGTGGTTGTTTGGGATATGTGAGGTAGGACAAAAAAGTTCGGTTGATTTGTGGTGGAAATGGTTTTCGTTTGAAGTTATGTAGAGTTATTGGCTTTGAATCTGGTCAGTCGTGCAATTTCGCGAGGGTTTATATACATGTAGTCGATTGCAAGCAAAGGTGGGTGGTTCAATCTGATGTCACTTTTTTCGCCCTCCAGCTTGGGTCAATGATGAAGCTATGATATCAGATCCCCATGCAGTCGATCACCTTACTCATATTTTCGGTGTTTCGACCTGCATTCAATTTGATTCCCAATGCCCATAAAAGTGGAGGTTATGATGAAATACTTTCGCTCGGAACATGAAATGGTCGAGTCCATGATTTGGTATGTCCACAGTCGTGGACGTGGACAGTCGAGATTCTAGAATCGACTCTGAGTTTGTATGGATGGTTGGGGTTAAAGTTAGGCCGCGGTTGCCGCCTTCCACCTGGTCTACTGCTACATTGTGATCATTGAACTACACTCACTGAACAGCCCTTATGATTTTTGAGAACGAATTGCTGTGACAACTTGGTTCAAGAAGCATCGCCATGGCCTCAACGCCTTTCAAATTCCTCGACTTCTCCAATATCGCCGTGGGTTGTATCGCTGATGTCATGGTTGGAACTGACTAAGCCAGCCGACCCCTTCACGGTCGAGATGCGATGCGATGCGTTCATTTTGCCACGGATGAAATCTGCTAGCTCCAATGAGAAGAGACTGGCTGGAGCACACTGTGCCTGGCAATGATCCATGACTGAAGAGCTCTTGTTCAAGTATGAAGGTGGTGCTTTTAGGAGCTCATTAGCTGTAGCTAATGGTGTAGAATTACATATTCTAGAATTTTAATCAAATGCTATACCGGGCCCGAATGTCATACTTCAATATACAACTAAAGCAATCGACAAAGTCCACATAGTAATAGGAAGGCAACGATCAGGGATATATGATCAAGGGGGAAAGGTGAGAGAGCATGCAGTCAATAAATCATACCAAACGTAAGCGCATCAAATTGAAGATATGGGTTTTTGGGGTCTGTAGCGAAGAGATACAGTCCCTGGTGTAATCAATCATCATAAGCAAAGCCAAACACGTAAAAGCAACTCCAGTAACTCCCGGCCCGGGGTATGGGGGTATGACTGTCTGCGTCCTCGCAGTTATCGCCGCTCGTTCAATGCTGCCGCCAAGAAATGAAAATCGCTCGTCATTGTTGTCCGGCCCAGCGGTCAACATGATGGTGGTATATGTAAAAGTCAAATGACTGTATAAAACAAAGATCCGATGAATAGATCAAGGCAAACAATGTAATGTCTAGGGGGTATCTGGACTTTTTCCTGAAATGTGCAGATAGGTAATGAGGCGTAGAATGCCGATAGCCAGCTCGTGCATCCGGTTTTCCTCAAGCAATTAAGTGCTCGCTCTTCTCTCAGGTCCGTGGGCCAAGTTTATCGGATTCTTCGGGTCGGTAGTATTCTCAAGCCCGCTTGAGTAAAGATCCCTTCAAGGGTATAGAATAGAATGCAACGAGCCGCGATCCCGTCGCAGAAGAATGAGAACCCTAATTAGTAATTTTAGAGAAGCAGATAATCCCAGCCATTTTGCTGCATCACTTCCCGCCAGTGGATGAACGGTTTCTTCACTTCCTCTGTATCCCAGTGTGCAGGACTTTCCTTCGGGGACTCAGACTTTTCGCGCTTGATGGGGCTGCTGCCGTTCGCTGAAGACGAGGGGCTAGCATCCTGGCTCGGTAGAGGCTCGATAGGCTCGTCTGACACCCGCCACACTTCTTTTAGAACTCGGTACATGCGGCCAAAGCTGCCCAAGTCTGCGTGGTCACCAAGAGCCGCGGCGCGGTCGGCGAGAACGTTGCGGAAAGAGCTGTTCGGCGCGGAAAATGTCCCTGTGATAAGCAGAGGCCAGACCAGCGAACGATCGAATCCTTCTGGTCCAGATGGAATGTACTGAATAGCATTGGCAACCGCTGCTACCAGATTGACGTTACTTGGTTGGTGACGGTCAAATCCAGGAACCAGACTGCAGAGGTAGATCCTGGCTGCAAGTCGGAAAATCGCCGTGATGTTGTTGGTCAGGACCGTTGGGGAGAAAGCTCCATTAGGCAGGTACGGGCTCTCCAAGGGCTGGTTTGGCGATTCCGTGAATTCCAATTGCTGCCCCAGGGCGGAAACGTGAGAACAGACCGCCAGGTCATCGATCCTTCCCTCCTTTTTCAATGCCTCCAAGCAAGTAATCTCCGAAATCAAGTACATGACGCGATCATCGCAGCCCATGAGTTCACGTAGACCCAACGATGTTCCACTCAGGTGCTTGGAGCGATAAGTATGTGCGAACTCGGGCGTCTTTCCATGCATGGTAGAGCCTAGGATATCGATCCAAGAAGCCAATGTCATGGTGAATGGAGGCGGCATGTATGGGTTCCCGCAGGGAGGTACAGGCGACGATAGGCCCAGTCGGTTCACTAAGTTGGATGCGGCTTGAAAGTGATCGAACCATGGGATATCCGGGAGATAATCGTCCGCGGGACCCACGGAACAATGGAAGAAGATCATGGCAAGAGTTGCATCGAGAATCTCTTCGTGGTTAGTATCCTCTCCAAGAGCCAAGCAGAGCTGTGAAACTGCCTCGAAACGGTTGCGCATGATATCATGGTCAATCTGCTCTCCAACAATACCTTCTGTCGTCTTCCTGTGAATAGCGGCCACACTCAAGCAGCAGTGAAGGTAGCACTTGTTAGTTTCCAAAGCCTGAAGAATCGCTTGAGCTCGCACATGTCCGCGTTGGTGAGCTTCCAGCACAGGAAAGATAATGCGTAGAACATTGTAGATAAAGTGATCGAGAAGCGGGCGGTCATGATCACTGACGGGTATGCTTGACTGCAGGATCGCGTATGTCTGTCCGATAGTTTGCTCGCAGAGTGCTGGATCGAGTCCCGGAAGCGTGGGAACTTGCGCGAAATACTCATCCTGGAACCAATCTTCTCCGGGGAAGGTGGGCAGGGGAGCGTTCAGCTGGGGAGGAGCAAATGTGCTGAATGTCGAGCTGCAAGAATCGTGGCGTAGTGGGACGTCGTTAATGAATGTCTGTCGCTCCGTCTTGACGTCGATTTCGTAAGGATGTGGCAGTCCATATATATTCTGAGTGAAGGCCGGAGTAGGCAGATGAGATGCGAAGATATCATACTGCTCGGGATACGCAGGTCGACTAAGCTCGTATTCTGGAGATGTTGGTGACGGAACGGCCATACTGCGGTTGCGGGCCGAGGGATCTATGACACACCAAGGCTGGTCAGATGGCTATACCTTGATGCGTTCCACAGAAACACTACCCACCAGTCAAAGCACCATTGCGCTCGTTCATCTTTGTTTGCTTGATCTTGTTCTTGATGCGCTCCTTTTGAATCCTCCTCTGCTCGGCATTGCCCCACCAAACAGGACGTTTGTATTCGCATTTGACACAGAGGTTGATACAGGCGCTACATGATGGGTGCTTCTCGTCACACTTCTTCCGGCGTAGGCGGCATGTGAAGCAGCCTGAGTGAGAAGCACTGTTGTTAGCCAGACCTTCGAGACACCTAGTACTCTGAAGGTACATGTCAGTGGCAACGTACCGGACCGTGAGCGTTTATGTAGCTTCATTGGAACCTTGTCCGTCGTTCTTGTCGATGTACCCTCACTACTAGAAGACGGCTGAGAAAGGTCTTCAGCTTTGATTGGAATCATTGTGGTAGGTGAGGACTTCTTCTTTGATGGAACGGGCATGGTTGATCTTGTATCGTGGCGCACGGTAGGGGACTCGAAAAGGACAGGACACAGGCGCGTGGCGAGTGATTGCTGGGATATGCGGGCTATTAAGGGCAAGACTGGACCAGCAGCCTTTGGTGTCTAAGTGGGGTATTAGAGAACGAAAGGCGCAGGCTGCAAAGGACGAAGCGGCTAAGAGATAATGCTGGGAGACAGTGGTCCACAATCAAAGTTGATATGATCGGTGGGCATGAAGGAAGCTTTAAAGATGAAAGTAGGAGGTCGATCTCGGATGAAGCAGGTCATGATGTTTCTATTTTAGAATCGATTCCGAGCAACCGACAGGGCCGTGAGCACTGAGCACTGAGCACACACACACACACACACATACACATGCACATATCGGGGAAATTGCGGTGGTGGGAGTAGAAGCCATAGATTGGGTGGGGAAGGAGGGAAAGGATGATCGTAGCCAGACCATGCACGGACAGGGAACCGGCCACCAGGCGCTCCAAGGCTAATTTTGGATCATTTTGCAAGATACTACACTTCTGGCCATTAACTTGGCGCCCATGGCCGCCCTCTGCACGACTGATTGGATCACGCACGCTGTCAATCTTGCCATGGAGGCAATCTGTTGAACGCTGCTTGTGCCAGGTTAGTTTTATCCTGGTGTCGGATTCATGTCCTACGAACAGACACCCTCGTCCCACGTACCCTCTCAAACCGGCGAGACGAGTGTAACATGATCAGAGTATTCCTTTCGGGGAACCTCCTTCACTACAGAGCGATATAGCATTTGGTGCTATGGAGAAGACTTTCTCACGGTTTTCGACTCGAGGAAAAAGCGTGGCGACCAACAAGCGGCACGCCGCACAATTCCGATTGCCCTCCATCGATACCCATAAGACGCATTCGCGATGCGCCAATGGCAGGGTCATCTGCAGGCTGGATTCAGTGACCTGACGATGTCAACGTGAAAGGAGTGAGATTTACCCGAATGGGAAAATGCATTGGTGAGAATCAAAGGATACCTACGTCTGTAGCCGTTGATAGCGCGGGGACATCCCAATGCCAACCAACTAATTGAATTGCCCCCTCTTCTCTTCTCGCGAGAAAATTCCCACTAGAGACAGACCAGGAATGAGAGCCCTGCCTCGCGCACAAGGGTCTCGAGCACCTTGAACCAATCAGAATACAGATTGGTGGCCATGTCTGGTCGTCTCTTGTAGTACTCAGTACTCAGTACCTATCTGATAGGCCCGCGGCAGTTGGCAGAAGGGATGAATTTGGCAGGTTTGCGGGGAGAGGGGAGATTTGATCAATAATTCATCAAGAGGCTGCCATCGAGTTGAGCACCTACAGTAGTGGAAGCGCTACCTTTGGAGCTAATTTAGCGTGCTGAGCCAAGCTTCCTGAATTTGGGAGACAATTGGTTGACATCTTCCTGGGTCTTGACAGAGCGGGACAGCCGCAACCAACCGTGCGTGGGTGGGTCGGGCCTTTGATGCCCCGTGCAACCAGAGGAAGACCAAGGGAAGTTGGCGCCAAGGTGTGATAAGATGGGCGCTAGCCTCTCAATCCCGACCAAGTCCCTGACAGGAGGGAGGGAGGAAAGGGAGCGCTGAGGGGGTGACGGGGTTCACGAGCTGCTGAGCTGACTCGTCCTCCTCCTTAATTAGTATCAATTACCCGCCCGCACCGACTTCAATTGCCTAGATTATCTTTTGGTCTTCCGTAATTAGTATACTTCACAAGGCTTTCAGCAGATCTGATAGGCCCACACAGATGGTCTTATCCGCATTGACCACTAAAGCCGTGCGTTCTCATGATCTGATCCTGAGGAAGATCGAGCCGTGAGAATTCCCAGGTGGGGAAAAAGATGACTGGGGGAAGCTAAAGGCATTTTTGACTTTAGCTGTTCTGCAACCAAGGTGTCCCAGTCACACCTCCTCTCTGGCACTCAATCACTTATCTGGATGGCTGTACCGGTTCCGAACCACCTTCTGGCGGATCGTTGCCCGTGACTCATGTACTTACTGCACCGTACATATGCCTGATCAATATTTTCAATTGTACTGTCTCAGCTAGTCTTGCTTATTGTTAATTGAAACAGATGTCTTGGGATCAATACCATTGATTCTGCAGTCGAAACAACGTTGGTTCTGGGCCTGACAAAAGTCGGTGGCCATCACAATCCCGGAAGCGAGTCAGCATGTTGTGGGTGTCACGACGCTTCTGCCGTTTCTTGTCACATTCCTGCAGCTACGGCCTGCATTCCTCGCGAATCGAACAATTAGCGTCCCTTTCGCTTCCCTGTCAATAGACATTTCAGCAAATCAGAGGCGCCCAACATGAGGTCACTTCCTGCCACTCTGTTGTGTGCCCGTGACATGTACACATTCCTTCTGCACTCAAAATCCCGCGGCACTGTTGCAACTCCATCCTTGGATATACTGTGGATGCTATCGATTCACGCGAAACTACTGCATAGTTTGTATCTTGCGCCCAACATCTGGGATCAAATTATTGCATCATCTCTCCTGACAAAATCAGCAGTAGTCCTGGAAATTATGCCAGAGATTTTGAACTCGGCCGAAATCAACCTGAGATTCCGTATCATTTCTTTTCTGTGCATAGCAACTCCGAATCAAGTCACTTGAAGGGGTGACAAATACGCGAAAATGTAGCCGACGAATGATTTTGCCCAAGCTTATCCCCGGCATATTTCGAGGGCATTGGTCGGCAGATATTCCTTGTATCTCTGAGCGAGGAAAATTGTGCCGTGATACGTCACTCGTCTATACACCTTATATCTCTGTCCATCAGGCGGGGTAGGACAGGTTCTTTTGCATAGCATCTACTTACCAGCATCTACCAAAATCTCCATCACTCAATGCACTCGTGCGGATTTCTGGATCAAATCTCAGGAACCCAGGCACATTGATCAAAATAGAAACATGTCCAACCTCAAGCGTTACGAGCTGTGGCTAGAATAAGTGTTAATTACTTGAAGTGCTTCTAACCGCCCGTGTTCTATAGAACCCTCTTTCCGGGCGCCTACAAGGTAAATTTGGCCATGCTTTGGTCGAAGATAGAGGATATTGGCACTACTTCCGTCTCATGAAGGATCTATTTTAGGGTCAAAGCCTGGCAATTACTTGCTCGATCCGACGCTACTCTATCAGTTTAGGATCTTAGTTGCATAATCCATTCTATTTTCCGGTTACTGCATCAGCCTTGTCCTTCACCATACTTTCCCCAGTGTATTGGCGCTCAGGTGTAGCCGCCGAACACACTCTTGGGGATTGATCATTCACAAGTACAGGGCCACGAGGGTCGTGCTTTGCATATGTTCGCACTCGCAGGTCGGCGCGTACACGAACCTTGCCATTGGATCCTTATGATTGGCATAATTAGCGATTCCAGTGTGTGGGACTTAGGGGCCTATCTGACTCCTGGGGGCTTATTCAATGTCGCTGAGAATAGCCTGATGATTCTTTCTTGGTCATCGATGTTAATTTGGGAATCCTAGATGAAAGTGCCTGGTTTCATCGTCATCCAGAACAGAGGATTGGACTGGCTATAATCTTCTTTCGGCTCGGCCTTGATGCTGCTAAGATGCATGTGGCAGATGTACGATATGCTCGATTATTTCGTTCTGCCTTGTGAAAAAGGAATCGCTCGTTCTGTACTTGATGTGAGTGCCTGAATCCCAGTATAGAAAGGATGTCAAAAAGTGGAATGGTATCCAGCTTGCGGCACTACGCAGGATGTAGTGTATGGGGCACTCAAGTTTGTAACTCATTTACTACAGACCCAGTATGAGATAAGTTTACCTCAAAGCTTGGCCAGATTATGATCTATTAATGCTTCCCCGATGAACACTTCGTTGAGTGCTGGATCCCTTGCGCAGCTCCCCACGTCTTTTGCGAGATCGTGCAAAACTAAACATTTATATATTGGTTCAGCGGTGACATGCTTTTCGGCATTCATTTCAACCTGCGCCCTACCTTGTATACCCTTAATCCAAAAAGATTTCATACAAAGTTAGTATAGACCACTTCAAGCTGTAGCCTAGTGTAGAATCTTAAAATTGTGGCTTGTTGAGGCTGCCGGACACTTTCAATACAGTAGGAACTGTACAACACAGCCGCAATCTCATTGGACAGGGCCGGGCTTCTCCGCCAACTGTCGAGATCCGATCCGCTCAGGCTCAGTTCAACCTCCGCATTCCACCTTAAGATTGAATCATCTCACAATTCATCCAGGTCGATCTTCTCTCACCGTCAGCGTGTGACTAAGCTACGTGATACATAAGTCTGAACAGCATGTTGCATCAAACAATAGGGCGGATGCTGTCTTGCGTAGTTCCCCAGACAAAGCAGACTTCTTATATCGCAGTGCAAAGCCGTATTGCCTCGACCAGGACATTCGCAAGCCATGCATCACGCTTCCGATCTGTCTCTCGACCTTTACATCAGCCACAGAGCCGTACGTTCTCAAGCTGCGGCCGTAGATGCAGCAATGGGAACTACAACCGATTCAACAACTCCGGCCGGGGCCCACGGGCGCCGCCGTTGATTTATCACCTGTTGTCGCGGGCGCGAACCGAACATTTCGTTATAATAGGCCTTGGCGCATCGGCGTTCTACTACTATAATACTGAGGTAGTGGAGGTGAGTCCGGTTCTACCTGTTCAGCCTCGAACACCAGGCACTGACAGCTGTTTCTCAGATGACCGGCCGCCGGCGGCTCAACTTCATATCCGTGCAACATGAGCTAGAGCTCGGAGAACAAGCATATCGAGAGATCCTCGCGGAGCATAGAGATCGCATACTGCCAGACTCTCACCCCGATGCTAAGGTAGTACACCGTGTACTCGAGCGACTCATCCCTCAGGCACGCGTAGAGGGCGCCCAGTGGAGAGCACACGTCATCAAAGCGGACAATGTCAGAAATGCCTTTGTTCTTCCCGGGTAGGATTTCTAGCATATAGCCTCATCCAGTGAAGAAATACGATCTCTCTAACCGGTTTGCGATAGTGGGAAAGTCTTCGTCTTCACCGGCATCTTGCCTTTCTGCAAAGATGAGGATGGTCTGGCTGCGGTCCTCGGGCACGAGATCGCGCATGTGGTTGCTCACCATAGCGCGGAGGGTATGACTCGGAATTATCTTCTGAAGTCTATTGTCACGGTTGCCTCGTTTCTCTTCGATATCTCAGCCATGATTCCGGCTTATTTGTCGCATTATCTGATTAACTTGCCCAATTCTCGGGTACAGGAGGTAACCTTCCCGTCTAGACCGGAGATGAATGAAACCGAAGACGAGACTGACCACCGTCTATTGTAGGCCGAAGCGGACGACATGGGGTTGAGTACGGAACCTGAGCCCTCTCGCCTCCTCTCAATCTAATGGCTGACTAACCTTACTTGCTAGTCATGATGGCTCGAGCCTGTTACAACCCGGAGTCTGCTATTGCCTTGTAAGTCACTTGCTGGCCAGATGCATTCTAGGCCGTTTGCTTCTTTTGTGGCAACACATGATTGCTGACTTTGTCTCAGCTGGCAGCGCCTGGTGAACAACAAAGAAGAACATGAGATTCATCAATTCTTGTCGACGCACCCTTCGGTAGGTCTCCTGATCAGCGGCCGAGACACATTTTCTATTGAGGCATATCCTAATTCATTGGCCACAGAACGAAAGTCGTATCCATGCTCTCAGTGAAAAGTACATAAGCTCCTCGACTCAACTATTGCAGCTCACTGCAACTAACCCCCTCTAGACTCAACACAGCACAGGCTATCTATCTGGATGGTGGCTGCAAGATGGTGAATGAATTCAGTATGTCGCTTTCCATCCTTGCCTGGTTCTGTATACTTTGGCTGACAATCCTTTCAGTGCCCGACTTTAGGAGAGCCTTTGCTAATCACAGGGAGTTTTGAAGCACATGATTCCGATTATCCCTTGCTACTTGTACATAAAATAATCTATGTAAATCCCCAATCCTGTATGAACACAACCCCATATAATTCGTTCTAGCCCGCACTAGGTAGTGAACCCGTACGCCAACTATATCAATCATCTCCGAATGTTCTACTCTTTTCTGGCACAAGGTCTCTCCAATAGTCCTGTTATTTATTATTACTGCCTTCGAATAGACAGCCCCAGCACATCGCCAGCGGATTGCTGACTGCCACTCGGCAAAAAGCCACACAAACTCGAGCAAGATTCCCTTCGGGCCCGAAGCTTCGGGAGGCCCGAGTTGAGCGGTATCTCGGGCCCGAACATGTCCATAGTATCTACATAGTACTTATTCTCCAACGCCCGAGCATTTAATATATATACCATGAAAGCCCAGCATCAGCAGATTATTCCGGGACCAATCCAAGCATCTCGGTCACAATATCTACCTTAAATGACCTCTAGTCCATCAATAACGACGAACAAAACCAAACCATGTCGAAACCCATCCTCATCGTCGGCGCGGGCCTCGGGGGCCTCGCCCTCGCGCAAGGCCTCAAGAAGAACAACATCCCCGTCCAGATCTACGAGCGAGACGCCAAGCAAGATTTCCGCGCCCAGGGCTACCGGCTGCGCATCGGGACCGAGGGCATCCTTGCCCTCCGGGCCACGCTGACCCCGGAATTGTTCGGCCTGTTCGAGGCAACCTGCGCGGAGAACGGGCTGCTATCCGGCGGTGCCAGGCTTGATGCTTTGTCCGGGAGGGCTTTGATCCAGCAAGTAGGCGGCGGCGGCGGCGGTGGTGGTGGTGCTGGAAGAGGCCTTCCCATCCAAGCCCACGGCTCTCTGAAGCCGTACACCGTTGACCGCGGGGTACTGCGCGAGGTGCTCATGACCGATCTGGATGACGAAATACACTTTGGGAAGCGGTTTACGCACTACGATGTCCGCCAAGGGAAGAATGGGGAGGAGAGTAGCGAGAGCACTGGAGTGATCGCGTTCTTCGACGACGGGACCTCGGAGGAAGGCGCCTTGCTCGTCGGCGCGGACGGACTACGATCGCAAGTGCGCAAGCAGCTCCTGTCGCCGTCCTACCCGTTCTTGGACACGGGCATGCGGATCGTGTACGGCAAAACCTACATCACGCCAGAGTTTGAACAGCGCTTTGCGCGAGAGGCCATGGGGGGAATGTCCCTGGTCACCGAGAGGGAGACGGAGGCGCCGAAGACGCTGCTGCTGGAAGCCATTCGGTTCCCGCAGGCGGATACGCCAGTGCGCGGGATCCAATTGCCGAGGGATTATGTGTACTGGGTCTTACTGGCGCATAAAAATGATATCCCGTTGGGAGATGAGGAGGCGTTGAGGTTGGACGGGGACGGGTCGGCGAGGTTGTCATTGGAGCTTACGGCGGAATGGGATGCGTCTGTGAGGGTCTTGTTCGAGGAACAGGATCGGAACCAAACATCCACGTTGAGGATCTGTTCTGTGAGGCCGGATGTCCCGGCCTGGAACGCACATGCGACGGTGACGCTTCTCGGAGATGCGATCCATGCCATGCCTCCAACTGGCGGCATGGGCGTAAACACTGCACTGCGCGACGCGGAGGATATAGTGCGGAGGATTGTTGAAGTGAATGGGTCAAGAGGTGTGGATGTGGATCTGGTCGCAGGGTATGAGGAGAGTTTAAGGAAATTTGCGAGGGAAGCAGTCAGACTCAGTTGGGAAGGAGGACGAAGAGGATTCGACTTGAGACCAGCTGAGACATGTGAGGAAATAGTTTTGTGAGATAGTTGTTTTCTGAAGGGGACGAGGGAAGGTGTTGGCTGTGGGTTGGTGGCAGGTTGGCTATGCATGTATTGATCTCTCCTCACATACACAGCGCATATTCCAGCAATATTCTCTGGCTCCTCGTTGACAGGAGAGCATGCAGTAGTTGCAGTAGTTGCCCATGGCAAGTAATATAGAAAGTGGTGCAAGAATTGGAAGATCAATGCTCCGTCGTAGAAGGGGAAAGTTGTAAATGGATAAGCATGCCGAGCCCCTCCGCGTGCAAACCAAACAAACAGTCGCCGCCAGACCGTCTCCAAGCTCCGTCGAAAATTCCCAGAACAGCTACAGGCCAGTGTTGAGGAAGTGTCCCCTTACTCTCTCTATTTGGATATTTCCCCAAACTCCAGAGGAAGTATCCCTTCATCATGTCACTGTCTCTTCCCGGACCCTCCCAGGCGGGTCTTTTCAAGCCTGGGTACCAGAGGTAAGCGAAAGCCCACTCGTGGAATGTCCCCGCCCCCCAAGCCATCAATACCGCCAGGTTCAGCAGGCCAGTAAACTTATATGATATGGATTGAGGTTATGATCATAGAACAGCGGCTGACACTTCATTCTCTATAGCCACGATGCCGAAGATGGTGCCGTCATTCGCAACATCGAAGCCTGCCAGGCTATTGCTCAGACTGTCTTGACGTCGTTGGGCCCTTACGGTCGCAACAAGATTGTCATCAACCATTTGCAGAAAATGATCCTTACTTCGGATGCGGCTACCATTCTCCGTGAACTGGAGGTTGTGCACCCCGCTGCTAAGCTGCTGGTGATGGCCAGTCAACAGCAGGATCAGGAGATGGGAGATGGTACCAACTTGGTCATTGTTCTCGCCGGAGAGTTGTTGAAGAAGGCCGAGGAGTTGCTGCGCATGGGCTTGAAGACGAGTGATATTGTTCAGGGCTACGAGAAGGCACAAAACTTTGCGCTCAAGACGCTAGAAGGTGGGTTGATTCTTCCGGCCAGGAGCGCTCGGCGGCCTCAGGGGCTGCCATGAAACAACGAACCAGGCAGACAACGAGTGACTCAACAATCACTGACGCTTACTTGACAATAGATCTCGAGGTCGATCGCCTTCAAGAACTCCGCTCTCAGACCGAGCTTACCAAGGCTCTCCGCACAGTCGTCGCCAGCAAGCAGTCCGGAACCGAAGATCTTCTGGCCTCTCTGGTTGCAGAGGCTGTCCTTGCTGTCCTCCCCAAGAACCCCGCCAACTTCAATGTCGACAACGTTCGTGTGGTCAAGATCATGGGAGGTGGCTTGGAGCAGTCTCGTGTGGTCAAGGGTATGGTTCTTGGCAGAGAGCCTGATGGTGTGATCAAGAAGGCTACCAAGGCCAAGGTTGGAGTCTTCAGCTGCCCCATCGACATCTCTCAGACCGAAACCAAGGGTACCGTGCTGTTGAAAAACGCGCAGGAAATGCTGGACTTCACAAAGGGTGAGGAGGAGCGTTTGGAGGCGGCTATCAAGGAACTTTACGATTCTGGTCTGCGTGTGGTCGTCTGCGGTTCCACCGTTGGTGACCTGGCCATGCACTTCCTTAACCGCTTCAACATCCTTGTGATCAAGATCCTCTCGAAGTTCGAGCTGCGCAGACTGTGCCGTGTGGTCGGCGCCACCCCTCTCGCTCGCCTGGGCGCCCCGATGCCCGACGAGATGGGTAGCATCGATGTTGTCGAGACTACCGAGATCGGCGGTGACCGGGTGACCGTCTTCCGTCAAGAAGATGCCAACGCTGTCACTCGTACATCCACCATTGTCCTGCGTGGCGCTACCCAAAACCATCTCGATGACGTTGAGCGTGCGATCGACGATGGTGTCAATGCAGTCAAAGCTATCACCAAGGATCCCCGCCTGGTTCCTGGTGCCGGTGCCACCGAGACTCAACTTGTGGAGAGAATCTCCGCCTTCGCGGATAAGACTCCTGGCTTGCCCCAGCACGCTATTCGCAAGTACGCCGAAGCGTTCGAGGTGGTTCCTCGCACCCTGGCCGAGTCGGCTGGTCTGGACGCTACTGAGGTTCTGTCTCGTCTCTACACCGCACACCACCGGTCTGCCAAAAATGATGAGTCGGAGGAATCGTCTGCAGACGAGGGCAGCTCCGAGAAGGAGGAGCCTTACTGGACCACGGGTGTGGATTTGGAGATTAGCTCTTCAGCTGGAACCCTTGACGCCGTGGAGGAGGGCATCCTGGACCTGCTAGCATCCAAGAGCTGGGCCATCCGTCTCGCGAGCGAGGCTGCCCGCACGGTGCTCAGCGTTGACCAGATCATTGTTGCTCGACAGGCCGGTGGTCCCAAGCCACCGGGCCCCAACCCCAACTGGGATGAGGATTAAATGTAATATTTAGGAGAATATGATATCCATTGGAGGCTCAAAAGCATGGAATGTGATAGAGACACGATAATCATGAATTGCCCATTGACCTATCCATGGGCATCTGTATATTTCGCAGGCTCTAGTAACAGTAGTGGTAGATGATTATTCTCGTCCGTACATCCTGGAATACTTCGTCTACTGCTGCTGATCTTTTCTATAATATACCTGACCGTTCCTGATATACATAGTGAGTACTCGATTCTCTGTTGACAGAACGCCGACTAGCGGGTGCCGGTATCACGTGATGCGACTGGATTTTCCGGACCGAGACTCGACTTTCTTTTCCCGCAAAGGCACTTTTCGAGCATTCGATCACTTCGAGCAGCTTGAATCCCCTTGGCCTAGCCACCTTCTGTCGCCCCCGTCCAGATCGCCTCCTTTTACGCCCAGCATGTCCATGTCTACCCAGTTCGCAGCTCGCTGCTGCAGACAGGTTGTCCGCCCTACCGCTTCCCTGCGCGTTTCCTCCGCTTCATACCTGTCCAGCAGCCGGAGATGGCAATCCACGGAGTCTGCTGCTCCTGCCAACCCCAAGATCACCCAGATTGTCGATCAGATCAGCCAATTGAACCTGTTGGAGACTGCCGACTTGGTCGCTAGCTTGAAGGTGCGTTTCTTGCTTCTCCTCTGGCCCTGTCGCAACAGCTTCCACCCAGGACTTGTTGATACCGGGTTCCTATCAATCGAATTGTCTCGGCCCCAATCGCTCATGTGATGTGATCGCTTGAAACTCACTGAGATCGTTGCTGACGAGGACCTTGTCACCTTGTAGTCCCGCCTCAACATCCCCGACCTTCCCGTCGGTGGCTTCGCCATGGCTGCTGCCCCCGCCGCTCCCGCCGCCGCCGAGGAGGAGGAGGCTCCTGTCCAGCAGGAGAAGACTCTGTTCAACCTGAAGCTTGAGTCCATCGACGCCGCCTCCAAGGCCAAGGTCATCAAGGAGATCAAGAACATGCTCGGTCTGTCCCTGGTCGACAGCAAGAAGTTCGTCGAGTCGGCGCCCAAGACCCTGAAGGAGTCCGTCCCCAAGGAGGAGGCCGAGAAGATCATTGAGACCCTCAAGGCCGTCGGTGCCAAGGTCACCATGGACTAAGAGCGGACTATCGTCTGACGGGTCCGTGGGGGGACTTTCCTTTGTAATGCTACCCGGTCCATCTGGGTTCGCTCTGTGGCTGGCTATCATTTTCTGGGATGATAGGACAGAAGACGAAAGAACCTGGATGGCCTGGAACGTTGTGATTGGGCTGCATCATCGAGCTGGAGTTTTTATCTCGCACCACCCTTTTCTTTTTATTGTATTGTGTTCTGTTATATCACCCTTTTCTTTATTATCTTTTTTCTCCGGTCCCTATATCTCTTGAGATTCTATTTTCTTTCTGATATAAACGGAAAGCGGGAAAAAGGCGGCGAATGTACATTATCATCTGTATCGAATGGACAATGTGGAAACAAGAGGAAAGAAACTTGTTGTGGTCTCTCTGTCATCCGAGTTTTGACAACAAATCATCATGGGCTCGTACGTGGTATTTCTAATGAGACGAGTAGCTGTCAAGTCTGTTTTAGATGAAAGAGTACGACGGTGGAAATGCGCGACAGACGTCGGTCATCTTGGGAGACATCTGCGCGAGGTGCTGATCAGTCCATTGTATTCTGGCGCCATTGTTATTGTTTTCTTTTCTGGCGTGGATGTCGAAAAGTGGACGGGAATGCGGAAAGCCCGAACTCCATCCAGATTTCTTCCTCCCCTTCTCCGCCTTTGCATCAACCCACCCTTCCTGAAGTTCACTTCTTGTACGCCCCTCCTATCGATTCGCCATGTCTCTCCCTGGGTCCTCACGCAGCATCAGACGACAATGCCAATTACGTCTGCATTCGGGCATAAGCCCCTTCCCGAGCCTGCACTATAGCTCCAACCTGCACCCCCGCCTTGCCCAAGATCACTTCCACCTCCAGCATAATCATCTCGCACCTCGACCTCCGCTCAGTTCCTGCTTCCACACCACTTCATCCTACAATGCCTTGTATCGAACTCCTCGGAAGTCCCCTGCGCTCCGACGCGCCGCCAACATGAGGGATGCCCGCGTGTCTTCTCCTCCCCGCCCTGCAGGAATCGGCCCGGAGTCTCACATCACCGGCGACCTCACCGTTCACAAAAAGTGGCTCGCAACAGGAGGCATGGACAACTGGGCGGATGCCGTCCTTAACAGAGACCTCAAAACAGATATCACGTGGCCAATCTTCGAAGCCACCGGCCTACACTTGCTAGAGTGTGCTCATGGCGGCCCTCCCACCCTGGCCGCAATTGAAAATAACCCGCGCAACTGTACGTGACATTTTTCTCTCTAACCCTCGCTTTCAGGCGTGACGAATCCCGGAGGGGGGGGGGGGGTCACCCGTTGCTCCTAAGAAGGTCGAACACTAACCATGTTTCCTCAAATTGGGGAACCATTAGTGACGCCCTTGGAAGTGTTCAAAATCGGCAAGCTCATCCTCCCGCTCCACCAACCCTTCCAGCACTGGGTCTCCTCGGCCAGCGCCCTAGCCAAAGTCCGGCCCGCGATCTACATCCAAGCAGCCAACTACCTAAAGGAGATGCGCGCACACAACAAGAGCCAGTCCGCGCCACCGCCGCCGCCGCGCGACGTGCCGATCCTGCAAGCCGTCGAAGCCCTGGCGACGGGCCCTTTTCCCGACCCGCGCGCCATGCACCTCCACGCGCGGGTCCTCTGCCACCGACAACAGTACCGCGAGGCGATGGCCCTCCTGGACGAGATCCTCGAGCTGATCTACCCAGCCAAGAAGCTCGAACCGGGCTTCGAGACGGGGCTGTACTTCCCGCCCATCGACTCCTTCTGGGACACCTACATGTGGGTCCAGGGCCTCATGCTGGACCACAAGTACCGGACCAAACACACCCCCGAGGAGATCTACCGCCGGGCCGCCGAGGAGTTCCAACAGCCGGAGTACCTGGTGCGGTACGCGGGCCACCTGCGCGAGCAAGGCCGGTGGGACCAGTACGAGAAGTACATGCACATGGCGGTCATGGCGGGCCACCGCCGGGCCACCCGCCGGCTGGCGTGCTACTACTACCTCATCGCGCAGGGGCGGTACCCGCGGCGCGGGCAATCCGCCGCCGCTGCCGACTTCCGCCCGGTCGACCCCGCGCAGGAGGGCCAGGGCTTGCTGCAGGAGAGGCACCGCCCGTGGTGGCAGCGGCTCCGCGACGAGATCTGGGCCGAAGCCCGCCGGCCGTCGCTGACGCACTACCGCGCCATGGCCCGGGAGCTGTTCGAGCTGGCGGCCGCGTATGGGAGCCCCGAGTCCGTCGTCGTCGCCGCCGTCATGGCCCGCGAGGAGGGCCGCCTGGCCGAGGGCGAGCAGATGATTCACACTATGCTTCGCGCCCCCCAATTGCAGGGTCCCGAGTGGGCGCAGGTCAAGGTGGACGTGCAAAGCCTTCTGGAGAAATGGGGGGATCTGCAGTTCAAGTTCAAGATTCCGGAAGAGTACTTCGTCCTCTAGGCCAGAAAACAGACAAGGAATTCAACAAAATGAGAGTTGGGTTGCCCTCTTCTGCGGAGTGGTTTTGTGACGCTGTATCGGACTCGGTGAAGTGGGGTGTGGGCGGCTTTGTTGAAAGCTCGATTTCTTCTGTGTGCACTCTTAATAATGACTGTGATACCCAAGTATAGACTAAGAACGTTGTTCCAATACAAGAGAGATCCCGGAGCAGTGGGGAGGGAGGCGCAGTAGATGGTGCGATTGCGACTGACGCGCTTAGGTGGAATATTCATGGTTACCAGGATCGGAAAGTATGACAAAGCCCAAGTTTGAAGAGAGAACTTGACTATCCATCGTAACGCCACCCCTGTGCTCGTCGTAGCGCGACTGCATACCTATGATCGCTCTCTGCGTAATGTCACTCCTCCCACCAGAATCATTCATCATATCGTAGAAGAAGAAAAAAAAAAGGAAAATTGAAAGAGAGATATAAAACACGGAACATTATCTGGGGGGTGGGGAAAATCGAAAAGTTCTCTACTTTCCTCCTTTTCCAGCACAACGCGGTCAAAAAACCCTTGTCATAATTTCCCCCAAGCTGCGGACAGAAGCACTTTGGAGCGTTCGACCTATCACCTCCTTCGACCCTTCCCTTTCCCTTTCCCCCGCGTCTTCAATTCTACAAACCCAAGCTCCTTCAATCCTTCTGTCAAAAGGGACGAATCCCTCATTCCAGGAAAGTCCTTGGCCGGGAACACGCGGAAAGGATTCGTCCAGGCCTCGGCAAGGATCGGCATCGACTTGCCAGTGTCTTCCACATGACCCCAGTTCATCAGACGAAATTGGAGGCGGTACAGTCCAGCTGTACGGACAGAAAGGTCGGAGAAGATGTAGAACGTAGCAGGCTGTCCCGGGGTGTGTGGGGTGCCGTGGTAAGTGGTCGGTGGCAGGTATGCGCCCGTTTCGGGTGCGTAGTAGCCCGACGAGGATGGATGGGCTGGCGCTGTGCTGGGGTCCGGATCTTCATCGACATAGAAAGGTGACACGAAAGCTTTTCCGGATAGCAGAGGAGTAGACTGTCCGTGGCTCAATTCATCCGCTCTACCCGTACCGTCGGCGTTCACGTCTGGTTGAGAGAATCCGGGTTCGGGGATGAGAAAACAGCCCACAGTAAATCGCGGATCTTGGAGGATGTCGTTGTCGTCAGAGGATTTCGGATCGAAGTCTGTCAGAAGCATTTGGATGATGGGAGGTGGGTCGATAGGCCGTCGGTCTCTATCACCTGCGCCACAAGCTCGCGCAGCCAAAGGCTGCTGTCTGATGTGAAGGTGATATCGTGAGGTTGAGGACGGTCGCCGCGGGGGAGGGGACGGCGTAGGCGAATGGTGAAGCAGTCTTTCAAATCCAGAAGGCATACTCGTCGTACTCTGCCTTTGGGGCTGTTGTATCTGACGCTTCTCCGCGGCCATGCTGGCGGAAGACCCCCCCGTACAATCATAACAGTGACCAGGACTTGGGACAGCCGTGCGGAGTTCGCTGTTTCTGCCAGCAGGAATTAGTGACTTGACCGGAAGAAAGCACATGGCACTTTTTGTCGCAGCTATGGAGGGAGGATGTGGGAGCAAAGTACAGTGATGGTAACCTGCACGCGCATGCTCATTATGAAAATGTAAAACGGAAGCATGCGTGCATGACCCAGTCAAAAGATGACAGAACCATGATCACGCATCTGAGCTTGAACGAGCCAAAGCCGACAAAAGAATGGAATGGAAACTAAGAGCTAGGAAAATGAGGCATACTCCACGTTTCTCAAGACATTGGACCGTTGAGCCCCAAAGTGAGCTGGACTACCAGTATTATATGGATGAACCGAAGGGACATCATGCTTCGGATGGGCGACACTATCCCAGAGCCTCTCCTGATAGGGCAATCTAGAGTTGAAAGCGGTAGATGCGACAGTGGGATCATAAGCCTGACTGGCTGAGCCAGGAAATAAAAAGCGCGGTAGCTCGTCCGTGGGATGAGAATGACTCGGAGCTCCTTTTAGCGCCTGATGGTCGTCGCCAGCGGCTTGGGCCCGCCCATCAGAATATTGCCCGCTGGATGTGGCATGTCTCCATTGATGCAGCGGCGTCCTCGACATCTAGACAATTGGCGCTCGGAAGCTCTCCTTCCGGTAATTCTTGTTCCTGGTTATCTCCTTGGGAATTGCTTTTCTGTGACTTTTCTTCTTGTCGGTGGGTCTTGTTTCCTCTTCCTATCGGCAAGTGCTAAGAACTGATCCCACAGGTCTTTTTCTGTAGAGTGAACATCCATATATAGGATCACGAATTGATGGGTCGAACCAAAAGCTCAATAAGATTAGGGCGCACTCGGTGATGCCCAAAAAAGGGAGACAAACAAGAATGGGATGACACTTGACTCGAATGAAATGATAGCGCGCGGCGGCATAATAATAGGTTCCAGACGGAAAGTAGCTTCGCAGAATTATGGTAGGGATGTAGAAACACGGCTTTTGAGGGGCGGCTTTTAGGGAAAATTCAAGGGCCCAAAGAACATGGTCCGCCGTTGGTGGACGTTCCTACGAGGAGAACTGGTAGAGTAACAGTCATCTATTAGTTCGTCCTGACGAATGCCAGAAATTTTTCCACAAAGCGATTGTTTGGGAAGGGGTATAGAGTGGGAGGGGAAATATGTAGGGAAAATCAGAAAAGAAAAGAGTTCCACCGACCTCCATCCAACCAGCTCATAGCACCACTTGTGCGGCTGCAGGTAGTGACGATGGAGGTACTGAGATTTGCAGTCAATCCGCTGCTTATAAGGCGTTTTGGCTTGTCGGATGACGCAACTGATTCAGCGACGATAGGAAAGGTTGACTAACCCTAAATTAAGCAGTAATCTGCAAATTTGAACCCATTCCATATGTGGCCGTGAAAGGAAAAGGAAAAGAAAAGAAAAGAAACAGATCCGGGGAAATTGGCAGACGGGGTAATACTTTTGTGAGAGAGCCTGTGCGTGCCCACTGTGTATGTGTGTGGCATTGCGCGAAAATCAAGACTTGCAGCAACACTGCGTCCCTGACAGGATCCAGCATGGTCTATTCCCGGATCCTGGGATTTCTATCGAACGTCTGGTCTCCAGTCGTTCGAATACAGCCCCGAAGAGGATGGTACTGAGACAGTCTCCGTTGGTAGTGTGACAACACATTATCAGTGTCTGGTACTAACCGAGCGAGGCCGGCAGGAGCCTGAAAGAGGTCTTGGTCATCAACAAACGAACACCAGAAGCAGCTGCTTATATGGTCTCCCGCAAGGTGTTCGCTGTAAAGAAAAGAACAATGAGCACCGGTCTAGTATGGATGCAGACATGAATAGCGCTTCCGAGTGTCCCAGAATTCGTAGATAGAAAGGCAGCTTGATGAGGCAGATTAACCACCACCGTGAAGTAAACTAGTCCAACAAGCCGCCTGATGCTGAATCAGATGAGGGGTCAATCATCTCAGAATCCCTGACCTCTTTGAATATCACCCCCTTGTGAAACCAGGGAGACTGCTGTTTGGTTTTGCTGCGCCACTGTTTGAAAAGACGCAGCACCAAGGGGAATTGTGTAAAGATGAGAACGCGACGTAGCGAGGGGTCGGTGGTTGCAGATCGTACCGCATGATGCAGAATCAGCACATATTGTCATTAGAACCGCTGATTGGTCCATGTGTATAATTGTCAGTTCAGAATAATCAGTGATACGCCAGATACCCGCGGACTTCCATGATCGCTTTTGACAGCGACTCGTTCCCCTGCAGATGGAGAGGCTACCAGGGATTCATGTGAGCAAGAAATATATGCGACTACCGCAGTGATGGTCTGGTATTGGTATTCCCCAATACAGAAGTAGCCTGCAGCATCTTGAACTCGAAGGGAGAGGAAAATGACGTTGTAGGATTTGTAAAGAACCCACTAGAAAGCTGTTTTGGTGGAGTCGAGGAGTTCCATCACTGTATCCGAGCTGCCGGTCCCATACGGAACTCTGTCCCGAGACAAAAACCTGCAGGTAAATACAATCGCTCGCAGCAGGATAACCAGTACTCCGGAGTAGGTGATCAATTTTGACCGCAAAATCTCAAATCTTGCCATCCTGTCATGCAGTCTCGAATACCTTTGCAAATGCATCACCTTCGAGGTTCGGGCCTCTTCTGGCTTCGAGGTGAGTTTGGATTACAAACTCGCTGCCAACTCTTTTGCTGTGGCTCATCATCTTACATCGAAGCAGGAGCATTTGACAGCTGAAGAAGACTGTAAAGAACAAACACCAGTGACAGTTGTGGGGAACGGGATAGTCGTCGCTCATGGTTCCAGCCGCTGCTGATGGTGGCGTGCTGTGGCTATTGGATTATTGCACGGGCCACTACGGAGACGGTAGGCCATAGTGCTGGGAATCCATAGTTAGACTAAGCGTAGCCGGAATAGACTATCCTCGACAGGGCTCGATTGCAATGTCAAAAAGGCGTTGCCAAATAAGAAAGGTGAGGAAAGCGGTTTTGTCAGGCGACAAAAGATTGCAAGGCCCGTGCCGTCTCTCTTCGATAGTGCTTAGGATAATAAATCCATAGTACAGAGTACATTCGCTTGAGTGATGCGTGTGTGGCTTCTAGTCTGGCGAGGTAAGCTTTTCATCCTTGTGATGCGGTATATGATCCCTTGAATGGCCACCGCCCCAGACTGTTTCATATTTGCTGACTGGTATAGCGTAGTTAGTGCTCTGACCCACATCCAAGGTCTAAAGCGAAAGTTTCTTTAACCGACAAAGGAGGTGGTGCTATTAGTGCATTAGCATCGTAGCGATTGTTCGCCTTTCGCGACTTGGCGAACAAGGCTACTGCATGTGAGTGGTTGCCTTACCGACAAGAACAAATGATGTGTCTTGACGGTTGAATGGCTCCCCTGGGTTCTGTGGATTTGGCTGTATGCTGGCGGATTTTAGCACCAGCCAGGAAGTGGTGGTTCTCCCTGTGATCCACGCAGTCCCTTAAAGTTCCTGGAATTTATGTGTACTTAGTGCCCACTCTTAGGTTTGCGTTCGGGTAGCTGTTGGTCTGGACCTCTGGCTCTGGAGGCTACCATACTGCAGCCGTTAGCAGGACAATAACTACAATGACGGCCCTGCTTGTGCACACGACGAACCTTCAATGCTGCAAGCCCTGTTTTTCAAGGTTCTGGTACCGCTTCATCCTCGAATCCCTTTCCCCATGTCTTGCGGCCGCAGCCCTGCGTTTGCATTGAGGTAGCGAGGCTACCAGGCAGTCGCTGACTCGACCGAGGCAGCTGGATTTCACTTAGCGCTGCGTGTAGGCAGCCCCGAGCCACCAGCCTCGAGCAGGCAGCTGGAACATTTCCCAGTTCGCAATACGAGGTCCCCGAAGGCGACCGCACCCCAGGAGAATCAAAGCGACAGAGTAGTCATTCCGGGAAATGTCGGGCTTAATCCAGCAAAATATAGTGGCGCGCTCAAACCGGGGAGATCTGAGCATTATCTCCTTAGACTGGTTCACACGACGCTAAGGTGGAGTGGGAATGTATCGAGTGGACTTGAAATGAATCGCCGATAAGTCCCAAAGAATTACCACTGAGGAGGAGCATCGAAGGGGAAGATCTGGAGAGGTGGAGTGGAGGAGGTAGGGGGAGGAAAGAAGGAAGGGGGTGAATCAAGTGACCGGCACCCCATCACAACACAAGCAATTTGGCCCCGTCCATTGCACCTCCGCCATAGAGCCGGTTTCAGGCGTCGCCATACCTAACTTAAGCGTCTGGCAGTACTTTCGACCACATAGGCTATGTGCCCGGTGTGAAGTGGGAAAGGGAAGCAGAGAAGGCTCAGACTCCGGTTGGGGTATTCCCATCATGACGGTTGGAGTACACCGGAACCAGACTTCGTCGACCAGACAACAGTTACCTCGAACTCCCATTCACCTTACGTGGGGCTCTCTGGCTGAGCCTCTCTGGACACAGATGTCTTCAGCATGATGGCTGTGATGTTAAACATGAAATTTGACACCAAGGCACACTTTACAGTCCGAACCAGAACATCATTCGATCAGAAAGACTCCTCGGAGATGCACTGCACGGATACCGAAACAAAAAAAAAACCTGAATTGGGGCCAGGTGCCATCTGGACAAATAGGCGAAAAAAAGAGAGAAAAAGAGAGAGAAGGAAACATAGAAGGAAAAAGCAAATTAGCAACTATTCCGAGTGCATGGCGCTATCACCTCCGATCCCTCTTGGATGCTGATCCCCAGGCATAAGGCAGCTCTACGAATCTTGATGCAATCAGATTATTCGCTCAGATGAAGAGAGAACTAGTGCATTGGGCGTAAGGGAGCAGGGATGACCTGGCGTCCAGACCGACAAGCTTCGTTGTGTCTGTACCTCTGTGGCACTCACCAAGTCAAAGGATCCTAGTACTCTCGAATTTTGCATTGGCTTCTAGGCAAAGGCAAATCAGCCCAGTGTTAACACAATACTGCTATTTACTTGGTAAATGCCAGAGCACAACAGGCTGTGTCTCTGCTATATATGGTTCGTACTGTCTATGTTCGTCCACGGAGAAAGCATTGCAATCACTAAAGATATTCTACTTTGGGTGCTTGGGGCGATATCTTCAAGTCACATATCTACGAATCTCTATCGTAGATACTACTCCGTTCCTCGACTAGATAATTGGCTACATTGTACCATCTCGGTTGGATAAGAGTATACCAAGCCTAAAGCGTATTTACCATATTCTACATCCGGTTGTCGCACACAGGTACTGTATTTTACAGGCAGGAAAGGGTCGTGGCTGCATGCCTCGAGTCACAAGACCTCTGCGTACAAATGAAGCCTAGATATGATAATAACAGCCTCCCTCATGGTAACAAGTCCGGGCTTGGATCCACATCAACATAATATCTCGTCGCACCACTACCGATTGGAGTGACACGATTGCTAGAGCAGTGTGTCGGTCGGTCATTGAAAAGATTAACACTCAGGATGGAATTTAGACCGAATCGCAGATTCGAAGGTCCTGCTTCTATGCAATGTTGGCTTGCGCCATGGACAGGTCCAACGAAGACCGCAACCAGCTGCCCATGAAAGCGATCCCAAGCAATAATATGTCCCGTCTGTTTCCAGTTAGTGGCATCTTGCGAGTTTCGCCCTTGAGGCATCTTTGGCCTTGCGACCAAGTATCCAAGCTGCATCAAATGCAGGGATCGCTTGCCGGCAAGACATTGACCGCTAGGATCAAGGCTAACGCGAAGTAAACCTAGCGTAGAGGGTGTCCAAGGCTTGGGAAAGTCTGTTCTAATAGACGAAAGAGATTCTGGAAATTCAAGTGGGGCATTCTGGGGACACCAAGCGTACTCCATATTTGTATCAGCATCAGCGATGGCCAGACTAGACAACAGCCTCCCGTCATGCTCATTGAGAGAATCGGCAATCTGACCAAGGTCAGCTTTTGATTTTGAGCATCCAAAGGAATGAATTTGTGTGAGAAGCCGCTCAACGCTTTCATAGCCAGTGCTATCCCCATCGATGGTCAACAATGGTTGCTCGCTAGCAACCGTGAGGGGTTCAGAAGCACTTGAATGAAGTAGCAAGTTGGATTGCCAGCGGATGCCCAGCCGATTCTCCATGTCTGTGAGAAGTTGATTCAGAATCTCAGTATGTTCTACCTCGCCGATTAAGGAAGCTTGCAGTTTATCAGCGGGGAAAGCGTAGCACAGTGACTTGGCAGTTGAGAAGAATGGTAAAGTATTATTGGCGCGCTCCGATATCTGGTTCAAGAATGTAATAGCTCGTTGCGTATCGCCGGCGTCAATCAAGGCCTTCACGCACGTATAGGCAGCTTGAAATTGATTCTTGTGTGATTCAGGCGACAGATCATCTATGAGTCTAGCCCATAGAGCTTTCTGTAGTGCCTTGCTGTTGAATTTGACGAGCAAGGTGAAATAAGAGCCAGACCATGAGTTCCGATGGCCAGGCTCTGCCCAATATAAAATATCATGCAAGCGATTGTTGCTCGGTTGGGCATCTCCAGTTACTAGGTCAATCATCGCACCCATGTCCCGAGTTTCCTCGCAGAATGCAAGATACCTTGAGGCATCAAGGAGAGCGTGAACTAGGAGTCTGCTCTCGTTCGGACCTAAGCGTTGCAAACCACAGGCTAGATAGCCTTCCAAGTAGCGCTTGAGACCCGGAACTGAGAATGCGAGTGCTGCATAGTACATGCCCAGTACGTACAGACGCTTCGAGCAATGCCCATTGATCCTCTCTACCCGCGTAATAATCCCATGAATAGCGGAGAGAACCTCTCGGAACTGATTGTGCCGTTCGCAGAGTGCTAACGCTTTCGATAGAGGAACGCATTGTCGGGACTGTAGAAGTCTGCATCCTTCCTTGTTTATCACATTACTTTCAACGAAGTCTTGCAGATCAGGAAGACTTCTTATTTGACTGGTATCGAGGCGCGAGGCCTTGGGCGCGTGTCTTTCAGGGTCTGGCCAAAGAGTAGCCAAAAGTGGCGAAGGAAGGGAGAATGTCGGCCACTTATTCTGTAGGATTTGCGATAGATGCGATTCCAAGATTGGATCAGATGAATTATGCTCAGGCCGTTTCAGCGTAGCAGTCAGGGCAAACCGAAGTGTTTGGGACGGAGTGGCCTCAGGATATGGAGACCTCTGCTTAGCGCAAAGGTCAACGTGGCGACGAAGCTTTATGTGACATGACACTGATCTCCTGTCCAGTCTGCGCCTAGATACAAGCAAGTGGCTATGATTCCGTGGCTTTAACATGGAGATGAAATAGAATGGTTGGGACTAGAGGTCGATCAACCAGAGTATATTGTATTGTATGACATGCTTCTGTGGGGGTGAGTGGGCGGGCGGGTCGGGGGAGGAGATAAGGATAATCGGACAATCAGGGGAAAGTCAAAAGGCGGTCGGTAGGGCGGCGAGTCGTGCAAATCCGAGCCAGAGTTGACCTCAGCCTCATCCTTTCTTTCTTTCATCATCCACGCTGGTAACACGAACCCCAGCCTTGACTTTTTTCATTACCCAGCGCTCGATCATCACGTTACCTCAAAACCTACCATTGAGTTTTAACATCATCGCGACCCGATTCTGTGCATACTTCCGCGAAATGCCCACCGAACACGACATCGAACAGCCTGCGGCAAGCAATCCTGACTCTGAGCAGGAGCAGCCTGCCGAACAGCCAGGCGATGCCTCCCAGGAGCCTACCGCTACTGATGCGGTCGAGGACGTCTCGAAGAAAGTAGATAAGACAGAGGATGATGCTGTCTTAAAGGCCCGACAGCGCAAAGAGAGATTCAAAGCTCTTCAGGCTCGCGCGGTAAGTACTCCACAATTCAGCTTGTTTGAAATGCGCGTTTTTACTGATATTTGTTCCAGAAAACGGCTACAGAGCGCAACATGAAGGAAACCGCCGCTGAAACACAACGTCTGGCGACCGACCCGGCATTACTCTCATCGATCTCGCGCAAGCATGCCTTCGCATCGCACAACCTGCTAAAAGCTGATACAGAGGCCGCGGGCGAGGATTTTGAGCGCAAGCGCGCTTGGGACTGGACTGTGGATGAGTCGGAAAAATGGGACAAGCGGATGGAAAAGAAACAACGCCATCGCGATGACGTTGCCTTCCAGGACTATACACAAGATGCGCGCAAAGTATACAAGAGACAGCTGCGGGAGTTGCAACCTGACCTGGAGGGTTATGAGCGAGATAAGATGGCAGCCATCGAAAAAGCTGCCGCCAACGGGGACCTCGAAATCGTGGAAACCAACGACGGCGAAATGATTGCAGTCGATAAGAACGGCACCTTCTATTCCACCGCAGATACTGTCGGGTTCACGGAAAACAGGCCTGACCGGGTAGCTGTCGATAAGCTGGTCGCGGACTTGAGAAAGGCTGAGGAGGTTCGACTCAAGAAGCGGAGAGACCGCCGCGGAGATGATGATGGTGACGTCACCTACATCAATGAGAAGAACAAACAATTCAACCAGAAACTGGCTCGCTTCTATAACAAGGTATGTGCCGTCAAATTTTTGTTGCTGTCAAGTCTAATTGTGCAACAGTATACCACCGAGATTCGTGACAGCTTTGAGCGTGGAACTATGATTTGAACGGATCCGATGATTTTCATCCGTCAAATGCCCTTTGTCGGAATATTCGGATATCGGTTGACTTTCGAGTGACTCTGCACCCCCCGGTCCTCACATGCGGTCTCCTTTGCTGGGAATTATCTTTTCGAGCAATGCGATCAAGCTTGAAATAGCCCAGTCGCTTTATAGCCAAGCTTCTGACCCATTGAGCTTAAAACTACAATGCCGGTCACGTTGAGCTCCATTTGCAGAGAACACGAGCGCCCTTCGCTTCTAAGGTTGGCAGAGATCATGGAGCAAAGATTTATCTAGGGGTATCGATTGGTAGCCTTCCCTGTACAAATACACTATACCAGCATCGCGTCATTGCTTCCGCTCCACCTTGAAGCAGTGTCGCTCTGCAGCTCTTCCAAGAGCTGACTCATGCTTGGATATCCAAACTCGTCTTGAACACAGCCAACAGTCAGCCATTGAAGCAGTGGTCGGTCGGTTCATCCCTCAATGTTGCTAAGGGCTTGTTGCACACCGGGGCTCTTTATCATCCTGTGCCATTTTTAGCATCAAGTTAAAGAAATCAAAATCTAGACATACTGTTTGATTCAACCAATGCTCAAAGCATGCTTCTTCTCCAAGCCTTCGTCGCTAGGGCTTCAATTTTTTGTACACCCAATGCTCCGCGAACAGCCTCATCTTCGAGGGCCTCTGCCACAGCCTCGCCTACGTCGTCCACCTTGAGTGGCTTAGTTACCATAGAGCCGAGAAAATCAAGCTTATTTCCCAGCAGAGCATTGACCTGAGATCCGACAAAGCCACCGAGTGCAATCGGCAGAGTCAACTTTCTACTCTCGTCGTACATAAAGGGTGCCTGCACGAACACATTTCGAAGTTCCGGTAGCTGCGCCGCTATGATTGCTTCCGCCTCTCTCTTAGTTGTGATGTACCGACTGGGAAGGACCGGTGCTCCCGACGCAGCAGAAATGTAGACAAAGGTAGGAACCCGCTCGTGGTGTGTCTCTTGGGCGAGGGCAATAGCTAAAGATCATGACCCCAACTGTCAGCATCCAGGCCAAAATTCTCCTGAGTAGAACCTAAATCCCTCGTCCGAGCACTGCATACTCACCGGAATCCCTGTTCATCAGCTCGTACGTAAACTGCCCGCTGCGGTCCCGGACCTCAAGAGGCTCACCCTCTCGTCTCTCCCGAAGATCCTGACCGCCAGGCCTCGAGGCGCTGAAGGCCCTTTGTAAGCCACTAAGGATCGGCTCCCTTCCCTGCACCACACCTTTGTAATCCGCCTCGAGTAGGATGCCCATGCTGTGGACCACGGCCGTGGCTCCGTTCAGGAAAGCCTTGTATGTCTCGGGTTTGAGGATATCGGCCTTGGCCCATTCGACGGAGCTCGCCCAGCTCGGGCGACTCACCGAATCTGTGACGGTCTCCCACCGCGGTTCGCCCGAGCGACTATGCCGTGGCGATCAGTATTATTGCGCAAGACTTAACGACAATTATCCGGTCATCGATGGAACATTATACCTGAGTGAAGTGACCGACCAGCCCCGAGCGACGGCAGACTTGCAGATCCGTGAACCTGTTGGAGGAGAGAGACTTCATCAGTCTCATTTTCTTGCGTGCCCGACATGCGGAGTATACTTACCCAAGAAACCATTACCACCCGCGACTACGACACGTTTAGCAGCCATTTTGCTAATTATGTAACTTAATCACACAGTCTGAGCGTAGTTTATGGTGTCAATAGAAGAATATGAAGAGCAAGGAGTGAATTTCAAGGTAACATGGTCGAATAGGAATTCACAAAAGAGAGCTTGATCGCCGGAGCAAGAAGAATAGCTGCGGAGCTTCCGAGGAATTCCTTATCGTATCACCACCCACCGCTGTCACGTGCCACCGCGGGCGAAAGTCGCGACAGGGACATGGTCACTTTGCATCCTACGTTACGCCCATCATTGCAATTCAGTTCCAGCACATTTGTCCTCCGACACGACCACGCTTACAAAGGAACGCTATCAGGCTCAAGCATGCCTTCTGCAACGGGTACAAAGCGCGTGAGGGTGAGCATTTCTTCAATCACCATTATGCATCAGACGAAGGCAGGACCAGGCAGCTGACAAGATGATTCTCAAGGGTGTCTCTGTGTTTCGCCCTTTCGGTACGCCAGCATTACTTGACTCCCATTACTCTCCATTCTGTACTAACGCTCGATGACCCGTAGTCTTCGGCAGTGAAGCCCAACCGTTCGATCCCGCGAAGAAACCCCCCCACGTACCCGCCGACCACACGCATCAATGGCGCGTCTTCGTCAAAGGCGTCAACGGCGAAGACATCTCCTACTGGCTGAAAAAGGTCCAGTTCAAGCTGCATGAGACGTACGCGCAGAATGTCCGGACGATCGAGCAGCCCCCCTTCGAGGTCACGGAGACCGGGTGGGGTGAATTTGAGATCCAGATCAAGCTCTATTTCGTGCCGGAATCCAACGAGAAGCCCCAGACGCTGTGGCACAGCCTGAAGCTGCATCCCTACGGCGACGATGCGGAGGGCAAGAAGGAACGCCGGGAGATGGTGACGAGCCAGAACTACGAGGAGGTGGTCTTCAACGAGCCGGTGGAGCAGTTCTACGAGCTCCTGACCGGAGGCCCCGCGACGGGGGCCACGCAGCCGCAGAAGGGGAAGGGGGGCAAGAACACCAAGCAGGCCCAGCAGCAGAAGAATGGCCGGACGGCGGAGATTCCGCTCAACAAAACTCCGGGAAACGAATACAGCAAAGCGGGGGAGGCCAGTGAGATGGACCGCCTGGCGGAGGCCAACAAGACGGTGGAACAGATGATCAAGCAGGAGAAGGAGAGGCTCATCGAGCGTGAGAAGAGACTCGCCGAGTTACGCGCGAGCGAGGGCGTGCCAGCCATCACCAAGAAACGCTAGTCGGGGCCTCGGGAGTTAGATCCTCATGGCATCATGTCCCTTGGATCGCTTTTGACTATCGGCCAAGTGCTGGCCACCTGATCATCCAGCCACCCCAAGTACACGACTAGCATCTATAGCCGTCACCACAAGATACAACTTCTCTCCAGCAAACGCCAGATGCAGAAGGCAGCATGTGCCGCGCCAAGGGAACGACCAGATTCAAGCTCCATTCTGGTATGGGAAATCAAAGAATACCTTCAACGAAGACTCGGTTTGCGCTATGTCTATATAAAGCCTCCGAGAGACTGATGTTCCTGTCGGGCCTGCGTGCATACCTGCAGCCCAACGGTAGGTATTGAGCAACTCTGCCGCCCACGTCCGCGTTGTCACTGTGGACTCTGCCAAAAAGCGGACAACGCAGTCTAAGACTGGTATTGAAAGCCTGGGGTAATCAACCTTACTTCTTGGTATCACCATGGTGCTAAGCAGCCTATAGAGGCGCACGAGATGCCAGCCCCCGAGTTTCTGTGGGGCAATCAAAGAATCTGATTTTCGCAAGAAAAAACGATAGTGGGATATTCATAAAACCGTCTTCTTCCTTATAGCCTGTTCACCAGAAATGTACCTGCACCAACATAGGAATAGCTTGAGGCGTTCCACGTGCTCACCCTCTCCTCATCAAGGCCAAGCTTTCAGTTTTCATTGATTGAATCTCACTTTAATCCAAGCCACTGTAATAACCGCGCTTGGAATTAATGAGCTATTATTTGATTCCATCGAGGCAGCATCGAGCCTTCTCCGTTGCCCGAGGGGCCGTTAACGTAATCTCTTCCCAAGGCAGGCCTCTCTCCCCTTGCCGCGTTAAATGCTCTTGTAGAATAGAGGAACGGGATTGACCCTGTGCACCGCCACTTCCAATTGTCTTCTCCGTGGGCCGGAGAATATTCTAAATCAGGGGTATCCGAAGTCGAATCAACCAAGACGACGGAGTGGACGACGGTAGAGCTGATAGTATCATTTGCATGGAGGGACAGTCAAGATAATTGACCACATTGGCAGCGAAGACGTCGAAGTCAGTGGTTTACTTGGTCCTCAATCTGCTCGCAACACCTCGATTATCGCTTGCTTGATGGAGAAGCAAAATGCAGCTTATGTGAAGTCGAGGTCGGGCATGGTGTGCAGGAGCAGTGGTTCGCTGCAAGTGGGATCAATATACGCCGAGAGAAGCCCCGGTGAGAAAAGACCTTGGACATCCGCATCTGCTGAGCGCAAGGCACCCGGAATCCCAGGGGCCACGATCCATGCACTACTGTCGATTGTCGAAGAATTGCTCGAAGCATCATTGCGGGAGGCTGGCGGTGCACTGCCACTGGCTTGCGGATAGCGAGACTCGATCCACGCCGTAAAGGTTTCCGACGCTGCATTTCTTAGATAATGGTGAGCCCTGTTTGCTACCGACCACTTGTTCTTCAACGTCTTCAGACAGCCAAGAACAAGTATGATGCGGTTACAGTGGTGATCCGAACACTCCGGCGGATGGATTCGACTGGTAGCAAGCTGCACCATGCCGCATAGTACAAGTCCAAACACGACAAACGGACTATATCGCTGGACACTTGGTCGCACGGACAGCAGATTCGACAGTTGCTTGGAGGCTTCTGTGGCTTTAATGTCGTGGACATGCCGGGTGAACGACGGCGAGAGACGGGATGGGATTACTGGACTGATGGGAGCCCCTGTGTCTGGCAGAGCAGGTCGCAGATTGCTTCTTGGGAGATGCAGAAGCATGGCGGCATAGTGAATTGTTGTATGTGCTTGGAAGAGCATTTCATCAATGCTGCCGTACATATCCACAATATCCACTTTGGTTGGTGGGAGGTGGTTTGTCCAGCTGACAAGCGCATTTTCCACAGCTTGCAGATGGTCCCTGTGTGTCTCGGGTAAACTGTTGAGCACGATGACACGAGCCAGAATGCACACTGCTTCAATACGATAACTGAAAGATGAATAGCGGGACTGGTCGGCCTCGCCATCATCATCGTCAGCAGTGAAAATCCGTTTGTTGAATCCAGCAAGGGTTGGCGGGGTTGGGATGCTCGAATGATTGGCATAGGCTGCTTCTTCACAAGGCAGGGCAACGTCATATGGGACGCTGCTGCATCTCAGGATGACCTTTTTCTGCAAAGCAGCCATATGGACGTCCACGGTGAAGAGCTCCCACCACGTCCTGCGCAGACTTTCTGCTTCAACGTCTCTTTCGTCGCATGATGTGGTCGCAAAATCTCGTCGATACATGCCCAGCTCCAAAGCGATGTCAACCGCGGTAGAGAACATGATCTGGGTTTGCGGGCATTCTTCGCGGGCGCATAACAGTATTGAGTAAAGGAGAAGAGCCTGGACCTTGCACGGTGTCCTCTCACCGCTGGCGCTCAACTCGGCCAACGTTGATTCAGATAGCGATGCACTCGACTGCGGCAAGAAATGGCTTCCTATCAGGACAACAATTTCGTGCAAATACTTCGGATATTTGCGCTCGTCATAGAGAGGAGCGGGGACCAGGATTGGGTGCGCAGCATGAAAGTTCTCGTAATACAGGCGAACCAGGCGGGCGTCGGACTCGGTTGAATCTTGAATACCCTCTGCTAATTGGATCGGAAGGTCTTGCTGCCCCGAGGAGGAAGGCGAGACCTCTGTCATATTGACACTAGAAGCATGGTGGGGGATGATCGTGCTTGGTGTAGCTAGATGCGAAGTCATTGGCTGTTGCAGAAGACGAGTATAGTTGGGAGTTGTAGCTAGGGGCTGTTGTCGAGTCGCATCCCGGGTCTTTCGCCTTCCTCCACGCCGTGAAGGTAGATACAGACAGTTGAATCGATTCTCGAGACAGCGGGAGCATGACGGTGTCTTTGCGTCGCATTTGAGGTGTTGCTTGCGACATTCCGTGCAGGCAAGTGGTGCTGGGCGGACCATATTGAGATCCGCAAAGTGAGCAAGACCTTACACAGAATCTTTTTCTCTGAAGCCACTGTGTCTAAAGAGAACACAGGGGCCTACAGAATTGTCAGAGGCCCAGTGCATTTTCGGTGAATTGAAGGAAGCGAGGCGCATTTAAAGACAGTAATGCAAAGGCCGATGCTGAGCGGCGATTGAAGGAAACGGACGCATTGCTTGGGTATGACTCAGCAGTGTTTATGCATGCACCTTTTAACTATCATCTGTTGTCGGGACTTTCGGTTCGCTTTCAAAGTCTGTCTCTCTTAGGTTCCCTCGAGTGTCTGTCCTCTACTACAAGTGCTAGAGTTGGAGAAAAAAAAAACAAAGTCTATTAATTAATCTAGTTCGTTATTCATTACTTGCACCGCACGGTAGCCCATTCTTGATAAAATCCTACGCCTGGTAGACATGACTTCTCCGCCCCGACTCTCGGTCATAGATATTGTACCCAAAGTCCGCTGCATTCGGAGGCGTATACACTGTTGCCAGTCAGTCAAAGCCTGTCACATTTCAGGTGATGAGGGGGCGCATACAGTGCAGGGAAACGGCCAGTTGGTCACTGCGAGGATTCATGACCCGGTGCAGTCCAATCTGATCACAAATATAGGCCACTTCGTCGGTCCCATACGTTGTGTCTTTCTTCACCCTCAACGGAGCCTCGTGGCTCTGTTCAGGATCAGGAGTGTCATAAACTGCCTCATTCAGCTCGCCCGCGAGAATCTTCATGATGCAGTGCGCATTTGCATGGTCATGGATCGGAGATCCTTTCTCTGGGTTCCAGACGAGAACCAGCTGCCACCATGGTCAGCCAAAACACCTTTAGCCCCTCGCGACTGCGACAGCAACTTACCAGATTTGCCCGTCCGTTGATGTTGGCTACTAGGTTGCGGGTATAGTTCTTGCTTGGATCGTTCCGTGCAAAACGAGACCAGTCTGCTCGGTTGGAGGCATATTTGGACATGAAAGCCATGAGGACACGGTGGTCAACTTGTTCTGTGCCAATGCCCCGCGAGCTACCAAGGTACATCTTCAGGTCTTGGACCAGCTGGTCAAAGGTATACTCCCCATGCTGCAGCGACGTAATGCTGTCTTTTGTGACGGGAGACGAAATGAAGTTCGAGGCAAGCAAGGTTGAAGACATGGCTCAGCAGTCGATAGCAGTCAACAGGTCTAATTGAGAGAGTTTACCGGGTAGGATGAAGCTCCAGGCAAGTATAATTGTAACAGTTAAGAATGACACTTGTTGTGGCAATGCACTGCGACTTTTTATAAAGCTGCTTGATATAACTAATATTTGTTCTACAACAGAACCAGTCGGCGATTGAGCCAGCTGGTCGGCGATTGACAATTTGTCCAGTGGAACCGCCGACGCGTCAGCCAATAGTGTGCTTTGTCCGCCCTGGCACGACGATAACCGATAATAACCAGAGCAAATCGACATCTCAATTCCTGGATAGGTATGAATTACGCAGTCTCTCGTGGGATGCTGAACACTGATCTCTTGCCTGGTCGTTAATCTCAATCCCTACTGGAAGCCATGACACTCTGTCACAAGTGGGAAAGAGGACACACTTCAGCTAGATCAGCAGATGAGAACACCAACTGCTATGGCACCCAGTAGTGTTGTTGCTCTGAAAAGAGCTTCATCTTCCACCAGTTTTTTTCCCGGCGATCTAGAAAGAGGCCGTGGCCATGGCAGAGCATTTCGACACAGGTTCCTGCAGGCTGATAGCTATTATGCATTAGGTTTACCAAAGCGAGTCAGTCATGTCGAGTGGGAGGAACATGATGTCGATGTTGAGATTCGAGCAACAGCATCTGGCATGTCAGAGCCTCTGGATGATGCAGTATGATAGATCTATCAAGGCCAGAGGATAATCCTCTATCCATTATTTGTTCTCTCGGCGTTGGCTGGTTTCACGAGGGCAAGTCCAAGCTAACCTAGTGATCAACAGCATGACGACGAGTAGATGCCTAATGCGCAAGCGAAGAGCTAGTAGATGGTTGTTGGATCATGTACTATACAGTTAGTGAAGGCCAGGTTTCCTGAATTATACTTGTTCCTTTTACATGACATGCCTACAACAAACGGCCATGACTATATCTTGTCAGACTGGAATGATCACCGGCTTTGCTCCTTTTTCGTGCCTTCGATCGCCTCTGTGAGATTGGGTAGATCTTCCACATCCTACCAGATGTCCATATCCAGACATCCCATGTATTATACATGACAAGCATTGCACGAGCGGAGACAAACTTATCATACCTATTATGATTATCCCACTGCATCGCACGGGACTTGCAATCCTATTCGCATGCCCACACCACAGCATCACCATCCCGCCCAGAAGCCGCGATGTATACGCAACACAAATCCGCATCGTGATAGCTCACTGGCCAGGAATTGCGGTGAAACTGAGTCGCCATATCGCCCTCGATGATGCGATAACAGATCGCCGACCGAGAATTGACTTCAATCGCCGAGCATGTTGTCCCCCCTTACCAGCTCTTAGCCAGGGCGGAATCCAGTACTGCATGTACATCCTTAAGGTTTCCGGTGGTCTGTCCGGTCAAACGACCTCCTAAAGTATGAGTGCAGTACGGTAACGGTAAATGCTCGTAAGGCTCAGTGGAGGGGATTCATGCCTGGAGGCAACAGGTAGTCAGGCGTAGGGGAGATCATGATGAACAGAATTACAGCAACTTGTTGGGTAGGGCTGCAAATAGATCTACGCAATCAATTAGTCGCGGTGTACCATAAGCTTGATTGTGGTGTTGTGGGGAGCATACCAGCTATCATATAGTACGTATGCTCTGACTGGGGGGGCAATCCAAGCTTCCTTCCACTTCCCCACACACTCAGTTTAGCCTTCTGACAGCGTTAAAGCTCCACGACCCAACCCACGATCAGACCAGCCCATGGGATCTGCTTCCAAGTCCTTGAGAGAAAGCTCCCTCTGAGATACGCGCACTTTTGCTTCCTAAGACTTATAGCGATACGGGCTATCGAAATATGTTTCTTGGCTTATCTATAGAAGCCAAGCATCTGCTCAGCTGAAAGATCGCTACCATGACACCACGTCCGCATGATCATGATCAAGACTGCTTACCAAAAGATAACTACTCGTCACGACTTGTCCTCGCCCCGGGCTATCAGCAAGATCCACTCTTGCTACATTATCATGGGTCAAGGGATGAATGGCAATGTGCCTCCCGTATCTGCCCGTCTCACTGACGGATGTCGCCGTGGTGGTTATCCGGAATAGCCTCCGCTTCCGCTTCCGCTTCCGGTCCGCCCCAGTCCAGCCCCTGGCTCGTGAAGCAGGTGAGGAGGGGGCTTTTACCATATGACGCCACTGGAATGTTGGTCAAGATTGTCAGCATACATAATCTGGGTTCTGGATCGATAGCATGCTTTTGAGTGACGTTAAATCATCCGTCGGGGATTTTCTTTTCCATTCGTATTCGTGTTTTGTTATATTGTTTCTTTGGAGCAACATAAGCTCTCTCTCGGGTTGTACTGTACTGTATATGAGTTTACACCATAAGATAGGAGCTGATCTGTACCTCGTGTAGGGATGCTGCAGCTTGTCACGTAGTTATAGATTATGATGCTGTGATAATCTGGCAATAATTCATGGGTTTCCTTATCATATTTACTCACGCCAACGCCCGAATTAAAGGGCTGGACAAGATTTCCCGATAAATGGTGCCAGTAGTATGACTGCGATAATTACACCATAAGAGTAAGAGACTAGGACTTCTACGACTTGTGAAGGCAAGTGAAAGAGAAGTGTGTGTTTATTGTGGCATTCGGATTATGTACATGGATGATGGTGATGATGCTGTCCCCGTACCTCGAACAAGCAAGTCACACAGTATGGTCGTCACACTCAATCCGAGTAGCAAGCTGCGGCCTTGGTGGTATCTCGTGTTTGCTTCAAGAACGGAATCAGGTCAGTTCCTCCAGTACCATGAACTCCATCAGTAACTCCTTGTCCGTTCCAGCTTTCCATGCGCGTCGATGTCCTGGTCGCCAGATTGATTTGCGAGGACGTCTCACTTAGGGGCGTACCGCGCGCAGGTCCGATAATGTATCGTGTCACCATCTTGACATGCTTGTCTCGGAATCTTCCCAGTGACATCACGGCTCCGTTGTATGCATCCCGTACCGGCGAGTCAGCCTTGTGGCTCAGAGCATATGAGCGGACATTGGCTGTGCGAACCAACATCTCGAGGAAGCGGCGGTGGGGTCCTGGCATGTATTTGCGCATTTGCTAAGTCACCAGCGTTAGTATCATGACGCGGCCATCATACTTGGAGAATTGGTACATACTTCTATGAATCCGCCCTTGGAGGCAACAGGGGGCTTAACGGTAGAGTCCTTTGCTTCCCCCGTCGCATGGTGCACCACACCAAGGAATATATCGAATGTCTGGATCAAGGAGCTTTGTGCATTGCTGCCGCCACTGTGCTGACGCCATTCACCTTCGCCATCTCCCATGTTGTAATACACACCCCTCGGCAGCCCAGCTACCGCCATGTTCTTGCTACCTGCTAGGAAGGGGCGTAGTTGATGATAGAATACGGTTGGTTGACAGTGCTCATACATACGCTCCAGTAGCTCCCCAAGCTCGACAAGACCTTCGGCCAGCTGGTCAAGATGTGCTTTCACCAGCACAGCGTCATCGACACTGGCGGCCTGGATGGCATTGGTCATCAGCGGGATAAGCTGTGCTCCCTTGGCCTCTAATGCCACCGAAAGCATGAAAAACCATTCTTCGTCTTTCGTGCCAGTGAACGAATTGACAACCGATAGATTAACGGGGTCAGTCAGGTCGGCGTTTTCTTGTGAGATTCTGAAGTTCCAAAGGTTCAGAGCTGCGTACGTTGCACACGGTGGGAGTTCTAGATGTTTCGACACCTCGATGAAGGGCCGCGAGATGCAGGGTGGTAACACCTAGACACGAAGACACCACAATTAGCAACGGACCCAGCATGGGGAAACGGTGGAGAGCCATAAGGAAGGGTCTCTTACTTCGCGAGGTGTATCTCCGCCCCAGATGTAGGCATGGGTAAGATAAGCAAGCACAACATATGCTCTTCTCCATTCCGGCTCAGATGCTAGCTTGCTAGTGGTAAGAATTGGCAACTCATCTACCGACTGCCTTATCACCCGCTCTTCGATACGAGCTGGCAAGTTGGCGACGATGCTTTCCCATGGGGAGTAGTAGGGGTCAGGCAGTTGTTGCAGAGGAGGACTGTCAGGAAGGAAGCCATTTTGGAAGGAAAGAGCGTATTGCTCTAAGCAGATGCCCGGCGTGTTCAACATAATGAAGGATGCAAAGTAGTTTGAGGGAATCTGATACTCAGGGATGGATGGTTTTAGTCAATGTGGGCAGTACCAACAACAGGAATTATATAGTTATTCCAACAATGAATTGCGGCAGTACCGGAGCCGGAGCGGGTTATAGTAGAGGTCCTTAAGGTATTGTGACACAGTATCGTACCACCATGAAGTAGATAACGATGATCTGCAGGGACATTCAAAAGAGGTGGTGTTAATAACGTCAGTCAATTTTCCAATAAAAGTCCGAAAAATGCCATTATCAGTGAATGTTTTTATCACCAGGAAACACGGATCTGGAGGCGGAAGCGGAACGGCATCCGTGCCGGATCAAACTCAAGGAAGGCAGTCGTTGTTTTAGTGATTATCTTATAAATATGTGATAGTGAACCAAGGAATGTCACTGTCACTAATAAGTTCCTCAGGTGTTTCTATCTCTTTGCTACCCAGACCTTCAATCACCACCATGTCCAAGCCTGTCTTCACGGAGGAGGCTGCATCGCCCGAGTACGCAGCTCAACTCGACTCACAAGACCCTCTTGCTGCGTTCAGAGACAAATTTATCATTCCATCCAAAGCGAACATCGCTTCTAAGAAGCTTGCTAAGCCCGGTAAATATCAAAACCCCTAAAATTTGAGTGGCCTTGATTCCTGACAGTTTGGGCAGGACTCTCCTCCGAGCCTTGCATTTATTTCTGCGGTAACTCTCTTGGTATTCAACCGAAAGCGACCGTCAACTTTGTCGAAGCACAGCTAGATACCTGGGCGTCAATTGGGGTTGGTGGCCATTTCACTGACCTCGAGGATTCCCCTCTGAAGCAATGGCAGTTGCTATCAGAGCAAGCTGCAGCTTCCATGAGCAAGATTGTTGGGGCCAAACCAGACGAAGTGGCAGCCATGGGAACCTTGACGACGAACCTCCACCTTCTCTTAGCCAGCTTCTACAAGCCCACTGCCACCAAGCATAAGATTATCCTGGACTGGAAGGCATTCCCCAGTGATCACGTACGCAAATGCCCTCGGTGAAAGTCCTCATGTTCTAAGTTAAGACTGACTGTCGCATAGTACGCTATCGAATCTCAGGTTGCCTGGCATAACCTGGACCCGAAACAGTCCATGGTACTGATCGGCCCGGAGGAAGGTGAATACGAGATCTCTACCGAGAGAATTTTGTCCCTCATCGACGAAAACGCCGATGAAGCGGCTCTTCTTCTCCTCCCTGGTATCCAGTACTATACCGGACAGTTCTTTGACATCAAGAAGATCACGCATTACGCGCACTCACGTAATCTCGTCGTCGGATGGGATTTAGCTCATGCTTATGGCAACCTGGAGTTAAAGCTGCATGAGTGGAATGTGGATTTTGCGGCGTGGTGCACATACAAATATGGAAATGCGGGCCCCGGCGCGATGGGCGGACTTTTCGTGCACGAAAAGCATGGCCAAGTTGACTACTCGGAAGGAGAAGACTGTCCCAAGTTTCGTCATCGTTTGACTGGTTGGTACGGCGGTGATCGGTCAGTGAGATTCAAGATGGACAACAGTAAGTCCCACCGCACCTTCCGGGTCCACGCATCTACAAGAGGATTGTGAACTAACGATCGGCTCATAGAATTCAAGCCTATCCCTGGCGCTGGGGGCTTCCAGATTTCAAACCCCTCGGCCATCGATCTCGCAGCGCTGTGTGCCGCGCTGTCCGTCTTCGATGGCACATCAATGGCAGAACTTCGTCATAAGTCTGTTCGGTTGACTGCGTACCTTGAATATCTATTGCTCAAGGACTATGATGAGGAATCAAGACCATTCCGCATTATCACTCCGAAGAATCACGAGGCCAGAGGAGCGCAGCTCAGCTTGTTACTTAAGCCTGGCTTGCTGCAAAACGTATCTCAAAAGCTGCAGGAAGCCGGTATCATCTGCGATAAACGGGAGCCGGACGTAGTGCGTGTGGCACCCGTTCCGCTGTACAACACTTTCGGTGAGGTATGGACATTTGTCCAGATCTTTAGAAAGGCACTGGAGGTTTGATCCCAGCTAGTGGTGTGAAGGGACAAAGCCAGGCAAGATGAATGTACAGTTGCCACGATTAATGTATACAAAATTCATGAATCCAGTTTTTCGAAAGCGCCTTGCGTTTCCCACGTCTTATAGTCCCGGTGATTCGTGATGATCTGGCGAATCCAGTTTAGAACTCTCTCCATTAACAGGCAGCCGGAAACACTGAGCGTACGTTTCTCCTAGTATGCGGAAGGACATAGACAGACTTTGGCATGTAGCTAGGTTTCAAAGGTGACCGAAACCATCTCGGCCATCACCCCTCGGCAAAAAGTCTTGAGCTTGAGAGAAGAAATTCGCGGCCAAGATCGAGAATTCGTCATTCATTGGGTCGGGCGACCGAGATGAACCCATAGACCCCATTGGATCTTGTCCGCCTACGAGGAGCGAAGTAGGCAGATTGAATTGTGAGCTTGGTGATGACGCTGACGTGTGGTGAGAATTTAGGCGAAATGGTTCAGGTAAGGGAGATGTCTGAGATACTTCAGCCGCGATTGTAGGAGGCTCAGAGTACAAAGAGTCCCCGAACATGCGACGGGCTGAGTCGGTGTCACTGTTGGAGGAGTATTCGAGGATCTCCCAGAAGCGGGACAGGTCTATGAGAAGATATTTACTCTGTGAGCCCGAGGCCGGCTGATAGGATGCAGACACAGCATCCTCCAACTTCTGTAGCCTGTCCGCCTAAACACACACCCTCTGTCAACTCATGCACAGAGATAGCGGATGGGCGCGTCAGCTTACCAATCGTGCCATATGAGGCCATTTTTGCCCCAACTTCTGCACAAACCTGACACACCTGTAGAAACGGTCCCGCTTGTCATCACGAATAACAGCATTCTCGGTAAAGCTAAGCTGCAATTCGATTGTAGCTACCACAGCAGCGCTATATCCCAGGAACGGGTCCGAGATCGTAAAACACCGCTCTTCGAAAAAGTTGATAAAATGTATGATCCATGTCGTGTGAGATGAAATGAGATCCGAGCTATGCTGGAGAAATATCTCAGGAATGGTACTTCGAAAGTTCCTAAGACTGAGCGAAAGGAGAAGCGGGTGATTGACCAGGCATAGTATTGTGTGATATAAGAATTGGTTCAACAACCACGGACCCCAGTAGTCTCTTCTTGCCTGAAGCTCTTCCAGTGTCCTTTCATTTAGGCTAGCTGGCTTGAACCTGTGAATGTAGGGCATCTGAGTCTCAAGGTCCATTTGAGCAGCCAGGATCTCCGAGTAGTCTGATTCGGACGACCAAGGAGGCAATTTCCCGGGCTTCCCATGACGCCGGACATACTTGGCAGTTTTTGCGAATACACCACTGAGCATTATCATGTACGCGAGAATACCCTGGTCATGCATTCCTGATGACCGAGTCTCGTCGGCCGCATCAATTAGAGAATTCGGCGGTGGAGGCCTACTTGGACTCTCGGGGAAAGGAGGGAAGCTTCCCTCCGGAGAATCCAAGTTCTCAACGTCAACACCATGAATACGTTTCAGCAGATAGATGCTCCAGAAGCAGCGCCTACGTTCTTCACGTGTTAAGGAGAACTGTGACGAAGGCGATTCCGAGCCCAGATTGGCACACTGTGCCAGGTTCATTGCCAGACTACAATGGATACTTGAGCGATGTGTGTTTCCGTCTGTTTCAGTTAATTAAAAGAATGCCATGCATAGATGTAGCACCTACTGGTAAAGTCAACAAGGCTTAGTAGGCACAAGCTTTGGAGTGTGGAAAGTTCAACTGGCCCTTCCGAAACCCTTTTCATGACCAGACCTCTAGCCACTTCCGTATAGCCATTAATGAGAGACGGGAGTCCATCAGGACTTGACGCTTCGTCATCTGAAAACCGTACACTCAAGGCTAAGATAGCATAGATTATCTCTGGATCACGAGTTGGCAAGGTTCTCAGAAAGCTGTCCCTGTGAAACAAAGGGAGAGGCTGAGAGTCGCAGTATTGCAAGTACAACTCTGCTATTGACACTACCTTCTCCCATCTGGGTAGCGGAGTTAGTGCATTGGGTGCCGAAAAATTCAAAGAAGGGGCCAGGGAAAGTAGGCCGGTAGTTGCTGTGTTCTGTCGAGCGCGACTCTGTGCGTTTCGCCTAGCGAGAAATTTATCAGTCACTGATGCAATAACAGTGAGAACGTGACGTCTTACTCCAGGGTGTCAAGGAACTCGCTCATCTTAACTTCCCAGCTTCCCAGACGATCTTCCTATACGTGGCAAAGTTAGACACAAGCGAAGTTCAGGGCAACCTTTGGCCGAATTACCAATATCTGTGAGATTCTGGCCTCGGAGGTGGAAACGCCAGAGATTGATTCTCCTGAATAGTTAAGACCATGGGCCAATGGCCTTCGGTGCTCTCCAGCATAGGTGCATGTTTGATTCAACCGCGCACATAGAGAGCAAGCTGGCTGCTCCCCAGGACATTTTGCCTTTTTCCGCCTGGATATAATCAATCATTAATGTGTCATATAGCGCGATGCCGGGCACTCAGTCCGGCTTACCTGCACGGCTCACAAGCTTGCCGCACTCGCTTAGCGGGCCGCTCAGGAGTAGCGGACTCCAAATCCATATCAGCGTAGTATCTATGTCGGGTATTTTCCACGAGTCTCGATTTTGAGATGTGTTCTGTGCTAACAACAGCTCCCCGGAGTGCGTAGCAGCCTAACGCAGGAAGATTAGTTCCCTACGGCAGCCTCCTGATGGTTGTAAATATCAGGAACAAGGCACATTTTACATCGGTCGGGTAATTGTATCGACCGTGATTGCAATGGCAATGACTCAAAATTGATAAGTTCGGATGTCACAAGGTTGTAGTCAAGGAACAATATCAACAACAGTGAGGTATACCAGTAAGTGCTTGCTTGCATGTGGACGGGATAGTTAACTGAACCGACCGCGCTGGTATGACTAATCAACGGCCTATGAACCCACTCGATAAGGCTATATCAATAACCAGACATAATAACGATGACTGAACACGATGATGTAGATAATAGTTGGAGAGTAATAGCACACATAAAAGATTCAGCTGAAGGCTGGGGTGTGCATTGACGTTGATGATACCGTGAGAGGTAGGTCGTTATGCTAATTCTAACCAATCACGAGACGTTCATTTGACGTATTCTCCATCCTAATTGTCATATGGCATGATGAGAGAGATGCTTCATTTAGGACACGGCATTCAAGTCTCACAGTCAGAAGGTTGGCCGATCTCAGGTGGTGTAAGGTGCTGGCATTATAATCTGCTTGTTGCCGCAAGCAGTAGTCCTATACTAATAACATGATGCACTTTCTCATCGTTGGGTGATAAAGAACCTAGGTGCTCCGCGTGTCCTGCACTTGTATCGAAACTTTGGAAGTCGCCCGGAACAATTGTACTATGGATTTTCAAACCGAAACAGGAAAGTCGAGGAAAGATTTCACACATTGACGCCCTAGCTTAATTTATGTACAACGTCGATTATCCCAGTCTTCCTCTCAAATAGACCGTTACAAAAACCCAGACATACCGCCAATTGGTGTCAAGGAATGTCAATCGCAAGACGCTGCGGGATCATACTTGGCAAAGTATTAGGCGTTTACTCCTTACCGAACCAGGTCTTGTGGCCCTATTTTCACAAGGTTAGCAATTGGCTCTTCAGGCAAAGAACGCAGTCAAGTGTAGATTAGATGTGGGCAGCACTTACGAAGACCATGCGGCCCATGGCATAGGTGGTAGCTGAAGAGACGTTAGTATGGACAACTCGATAGCGCGAGAATGAGTATTGCTCACCAATGCCGAGACCATAGACGGAGATGAGGTAAGGGTACATGATGTAGTTGCTGCGCTCGGTCTGTGGGTAAACGGACAATGGTTAGACCTTCCATGCTACCATATAATCATTCCAACCCAACTAACCTTATACCACTGACGCTTGCCGTCGTGCTTCTGGAAGAGACGCTGGTAATAGGGGACACGGTTCTCACGGAACACAAATCTATGGAGATATTCAACATGTGTCAGTTATGTGGAAGTCAATTGGGAGATAAGCAGTGGTCAGAGCCCGGTCAACGGTGCGCTGCCCGAGCTGACGAACGAGTTATAAATCGGGAGCGCAGAGACCGTGCAAGGGGATGAAAAACAAGAAAGAGTAGTAGAGGCTTACCCAGCCATGCGAGGAGCGGTGCGGAACATTTTGGCGGTTATGCGAATGCGACAAGAACGAGGTTTTCTAGAGAATGAAGACGAGAATGGCAGCTAGAAGATTGGCAGTAACAATGATCAGTCGATGTCGTGAAGTGTGGACCCGAGCATGTCCCGGTCACGTGGTCACCCTCACACTTCCGCCTTTAGGATGCAAGGCTTAATAATTTCACGTGATGACGCAGTACCAGAGCTAACTCAACTAGGTTTGGCTCAACAGATTGGTCTCCCCCAGAAAAGTAGTTTCCGCGGAATCCAAGTGCGCAGCAGTTGAGCTCAATCCCCATCGATTCACATGTGCAAGAGATTTTCCATGCTTTCAGGGAGCGAATGAGGAGGATGGTCAGATCTATCGTTCTCCTCTCTTCCTTTTCGTCTCAAGACTCATGCGCCCGGCTCTTCTTCGATTACTGAAGAGACCGTCAGCTCTTTCGGTTCTCGACTCCCTGATCTCAGCACCGGCCGGGGTTGAACAATTGGAGCTTAGACGCGATCAGAGGTGTCTGCGATGTCTATCCAGGAGTACCCGACAAGAAAATTACATATCCTCCGTCAACCGAGAACAGACAGCATGCAGCGAATCTCCCTCTCCCTCAACAAGACGAAAATTGAGCTTCCAGGTCCACAAGATCAAAGCACCGAAGGCGCAAGCAGAGGATAGTGTTGGAAATGGTGAAAGCTCTCTCGACAAGCAGAGGTACCCATCGCGATTCCGTATACAACCAGAGAAGCTAGAATTCGAATCGGATATTGGACATGTACGCGAAATCGGAACTCGTCTGGTGGATAGCCCACTCCACCGAGATGATTTCAGTCTCTGGGCTGAGCTACTACGCTACCGTCAACGGCACTATGGAGAGCAAGGGACAATGGTCATTTGGGAGGCTCTGACTGATCGCGTGGACGATGTGCGACTCCCAGTGGACGGGGACTTGGCCGACTTTCTCTGGCAGAGCTTTGTCGACCTCGGTTTCAAGCGAGAGATTGTGATGGTTGAGGTGGCTGAATATGCGGGAGAGCTCTGGAGTAAGACTGGGAACCGGTGGCCCAAGCTCTACGAGAGAATTGTCGGCGGCTTCATCGAACGCGGCCTGATTGATCGGGCTGAGGAATGGCATCGAAAACTTCAAGAGCCACACCTAGCAAGTCCGAATGACATTCTACATGTCCTAAGACCGGCCGTCTCTGCTCGCCACTCGAACAGTACTGTTGTGGGTAAAAACAAGGCTAAAAACCAGGGCCAAGGCTTCCTACCAAGCCTAGTGGCATTTCGCAATATCTGCCGGTCGATACAAGGCCACCAGATCTACGTTCCCACCATGTCTGCGCTCCTTAAAAATGATCTTCCTGCTCAAGAGCTGGTACTCATGCATCTATTCTTAGTGGGTAAGGGCGATCATCCCCGTTCCTACCAAGACATAGAACCATTGATCCACGCTGCAGAAAAGCGTGGCCTACAATCATTCCGGCAGAAGCTCCGAGCTTATGTCGACCGTCAATTCTCTAGTGATATTGAAGACGTTCAATGCAAAGACTCTGAAATTGAGAATTCTGAGCATAGACCGCAGGCGAGCCCTAGCGAAAGACAGCCCTTGCATGACGAAAAGCCCATCAAGGACGACCTGGGCGCGCGCTTATTCGCTACGGACGCTTTGAAGTTTGAACTCATTCTCTCTGGCTTCAAGATGTTTGGCGCTACTTCTATTGGACCACAATCATTACGGGAAATGGCTGTGAGAGCGCATGGCAGCCGCGATCTACTGGAAAGGCTTCGACTTCTGCAGGAAGCAGGTATTTCCATCGGGGACTCGATCTTCTCTCGCCTTGTCCGCAAGCTAGCCACAGAAAATCGTGGTATCGTTCTGACAGATCTACTTCGAAGTGATCAACATCCCGACATGCTGGAGGATATGCGTGTTCAAGAATCTCTCTTGTTGTCTCACTACCTCAGTCAAGACTGGCGTCGCTACAACCTGACCCTAGCCATCCTCAGCGAAATAGCCGACGAAGGACCAAACATGTTCAACATCCATTTTCGAAAACATCTGAGAGCGGGCGAGTGGGAGTTGGCATCGAAAATAGTCGATGAACTAGCTTTGCGCGGAGAGCCCCTCACGAAGACAAGCATCGACTTACTGATCAGTCATGTTCTGACCCCACGACGGCCTGGGTCTGGACCGATCCGAGTTCCTGACCGGCCACCGCAAATTGAAGTGGCGTTCGTCTTCCGTGTTCTACAACGCACCATTCCATTGGGGTCAACTGTATCTGCCAGGCTCTGGGTTGAGTTGATCAAACGACTGGGCCAGACAGACTCCTGGGTTGAGCTTCGGAAGTGTTGTCTTTGGCTAGCCCGTCATTATTCTTTCACTGGGCCGCAGAAGGATACACCTCTGGACATCATATCAGGATCAAGCGCGGCACCACATAGTCGGACCTCTCCAGCTTCGGGGCACAATGCTGACATGCTCCGCACAATATTCAGCCGCCACGTCCAGGAAGCCCTCGTGCATTGGGGGTTCCGCAAGCGAGTCTCTCCGAACAACCATCGCTACCACGCGGTCAATGATTTGATTCCATGGATACGGGGCCTCGCTCTCCTGCGTGAGCTGGAGCGTAGCGGTGTTGAGCTTCAGGTAAGCAGCATCAGCCGCGCGTGTCGGCAACGGCTTGCTGTTGTCTTTGGACGAAACCGGCGGTCTAGCCGCCCCATGAACCGCATGTTGCGACGAGAAAATCCTTATACTCTTGAGAAGGTACTCGGCGATATCAGCCGCGTCTGGGGAGAGCCATCCTTGTTTGCAGGCCGAGAGCACATCGATGTGTTTCGACTAATTAATCCACCGAGTTCCAAGATGTCGTACCGCAGGACACGTAAAACCCTCTGGAGGGAGCAAAAACTGCGGGGACCAGCTTTCATTCAGAGTCGGTCATAATGTATCAACAGACAGTGACAGTGTATATAGACCCCAATAGACCGAATATATCACATATCTACTTGTAGCTTCTAAGGCCAGACAGAGCCTGAAACTTGGATGCCTTAAGGGGGAAGGTGGGTGGCACGTGAGGCGACCGGGGCAACGTAAGATCCCAAACAAACCCAACAAACAAAGACATGGGATGGCGCGTCCGACCGGGCTGAGCCACTGTTGTGCTAAGAATAGGCGGCCACACTTCCCGTTCATTCTCCATCTTTTCATGGCTACCCATGACATCTCAACTGCTGTATGGCCTGCCTAGACCTTCTGGCCCACTGTCAATAAGCAGATCAACGCAAGATTCTAAACTCTCTCAGTGACCGTGCTCTCGTTGACTTACATGAGTACCACATCCCATCCCCCTGTCGTAGCTTGCTCATTATCCCTCTTTTTATTTTTTCTAACCTGTCAGTCAATAAATAAATGCGAACCTCTTCTATTGTTCCGCAAGTGGGGTCATTGTTTCTTCTTGCTGCATCATTCCTATACATATTTACTCTCATCTTTAGCATTGGATCGTGACCCTTCTCTGACCGTTGACATCTAATTTTGCCATCCCTACGCTCCTCCATCGATTCTGTAGTTATCGTCCTAATTCCCTAGGTCATTTTGCGGCGGTTTTCCTGCATATTTGTCTCCTTACACCTAAATACCATATCGCCCGAGAGTCGCCTGCACAACCACAATGCGAGGACTGGGAATTCTGGCCCTTGCCCCTTTGGCAGCTGCAAAAGCTTTGCATTCGCGACAGACAGCATGCAACAACTCGCCGTCCCTGTGCTCCAAATCCTACGGTGAGATTACTCATCTAGGCGCACATGATAGTCCGTTTCTCCGGGACGCATCGACCGATTACTCAACCTTTGGAGATCAGTGAGTAGTTTCAGAACCACATACGCGACTCAAGCTTGGAGCTGACTGACAGTCGCGCAGATATTACAACACGACACTACAACTCGAGGCGGGCGTACGTCTAGTAACGGCGCAAGTGCACAAGTCAGATTCAGAGTGGCACTTATGTCATACCAACTGTGACTATCTAGATGCAGGCAAGTTAAGCACATGGCTATCGGAGATCAAAACATGGCTAGACTCCAACCCAAACGATGGTAAGTCGCGCACCCTCCGTTGAAATCCTTGACCCAGTGACAAAGCAGGAGAGTTAATATTTCATGGCTGCATAGTGGTCACGGTCCTGCTGGTCAACTCGGACGACGCAACAGCATCGGATCTTCACTCGGAGTATGAGACAGCGGGCATTGGGAATTACACCTACACGCCTACCTCACAGACCTCCGCGCCCAGCTCCTGGCCCACTCTACAGGAGCTGATCAACGAGGGTACTCGGTTGATATCATTTGTGGCATCGCTAAGCGCCTCGAGCAACACGGTGGCTCCATACCTGATGGACGAGTTCACCTACCTCTGGGAGAACCCCTACGATGTGACCTCGGCGTCGAATTTCTCTTGTACACCCGACCGCCCAACGACCGTGAAGAATGACTTGTCTGCGGCACTTTCTTCCAACCGGCTTCCCTTTATGAATCACTTTCTTTACCAGACTACCATCCTCGACATTGAGTACCCGAATGTAAGCTATGTGGGCACGACTAATGCCCCCTCCGGCGGCACGGGCAATCTCGGCGATACTGCGAAGAAGTGTAAGAGTGCTTACAGTGGCCGCCAACCGACTTTCATCCTGGTGGACTTCTTCAACAAGGGACCCGCCATATCGACGGTGGACAGTCTGAACAATGTCACCGACGCTACCGGACGCGCCAATCTCACGTCGACTACTCAAACGAGCTCCGCCTCCACGTACTCGAATGTGTTCAAGGGACTGGTGGAGACGGTTCAGAAAGCAATGGACGGAGCGAATCCCAGCATGGGGGAATGGATCTGGGCCGGCGGGGACTGGGGCAGCTTGTTGGGCGGTGGGATTGCTCTCTAAAGTCTGTCGCACGCGTTCTCTCCCGCCTGCCATCTTATTGGATTCTCTTTTTCATTCCCTTTCCTTGCGAATTAGCAGCATTGCAGTTCTCTCATTGGCATGCATAAATGCAAGCTCGGCGCTCCTTCAATCTTTGTGATATCTGGATGATTCTCATGACGCTCCTTCGATTTATGATGGTTCACATTTCACTGCACATAGAGACGGCGTTCTTTGTTTGATGGATCTTAACGACTTGTCAATCATTGTACTTATACATATGAAATTACCTTCCTTGTCCGGCCATCCGTATCTTCCATGCCCCAACAGGTGCAGGCAATCTGTCGTCGTAAGCCAGATTGAGCTCGACCACAAAAGCCCTTACAACCGATGCTCACTGCTGCCCAAGCAAGGAGCGGACCTTGTTCACCTTATCCTCAAATGACTGCTCCTTATCGGTCCTGCGAGAGGGAGACATGATACATTAGCCAACGCCATCCAATTAGACATCACCTTTCTAGGAGCGTTTCCCAGTTCGAAAATGCGACATCATAGGGGAGAGTCGAAGACCGAAGTAACTATAACCAGACGAGAAATAGGAGTGGGATGAAAGAGTGTGTTCTACCTTGATCCAACCCGAATGTCCGTCTGAATCCTCACAATACCCTGTTGATGCAGGATCGTATGCGCCTGCCCAATGACCTGATGAACTTTGTCCCACGGTCCCTCTGTTTAAGTCGATGCCGCAACCCCCCGTCCCGCAAAAGGAGCACAGGGAGTGGAGGGCGGGTCCTCGGTTAGCCAAGAACCATGAGATGATTACGTGCACGAGTCGGAAAGAGAAGAAAGCATTGGGCAAGTGGAAAATGAGATTAGGAGGGACACAGCTGCGCAACTCACCAAGGGTTGTCCCGGCGGAGTGCATGACGAATTTGAGGCCCGACTTCTCGACTAGGCGTTGGACGTCGGTGATTTGGGCGGACACTGATGGGGACGAGGTGCCGATCTGCGCGGATGGGTTAGTCTCACTGAGGGGAGTTCGTTCTGCAGCTTAGTGTTCAGGCTCAGGGGGTCCACTCCATATGGTGTTGGCAAGATAGCATGGAATAGAATGGGTGAGTGGGTGGACGGATGGATGGGGATATGATGGATGGATGGATGGATGGATATGCATGAAGCAGTCGGAGTCGTCCCGTCAAATTGAGGCATGTCATGAATGCATGGAGATAAGCACTACTTGCTGGTGATACCTTGTCGATGATGACGGAAGACGGCCTGCTCATGTGGGACACAGGTACAGCAAATCGATGCGACAAAGGTAGTCTGTAGTGTACTTACAGGAATCAAACAGAAGTCCGCCGTGCAATGCGGGGGAGTTGGGATGGACGCGATGTTGTCCATTTTCAGATTAGCCTGTTTGTTGAAGGTTCACGGAAGATGTACAATTATCTGTTGCAAGCCAAACGAAAATAAAAGCCTAAGCTGTATTTCCCAGTAAACGTGGACGATGGTGAGACCTCTGGTGTTGGATGACAGCAGTTGTTGTTGTTTCTCTCGCGTTGCTCTTCCCTCAGCGCGGAGCCGAACAGCGGAGGGGCAACTGGGGAAGGGGGGGGGGCGACATCATCTCCCACGTTTTCGACTTCCCCCCGTTCCATTCATCGACATTAACATATGAACATTGACCTTGACAAGGACTAACTCCCTCACTACATCCATGATTGACTCCATCAGAAATTCTCTCTTCTAGACCCGATGAGCAATTCTTAGTCCACCCGGTTCTAGCATTGTACATACATAAGACGCGCATCGCCAGCCATGCACCGGTCTGTGGGTTGCCGCGAACAACTCATCAAAATCTCGTTTCCCACTCCGTAGGGGAGTCAATAATCATACGGTGCATCAGTTAACTGTATCTGTCCAAATTGAACACTTCTGGTCGGAATTTACGGTCTCGACTGGATAGACTAGCAATCCTTTATTTGTGCGCTTTGACGAGTATCTCTCTTACTTCGCCCGTCATCTTGTCATTCTCTCTGCACTGTTCGCCCGCCATCAGAATTGAGGACCACTAGGTCTCACTACGGTGCGTATCGTTGCATATGCAATGAACTATCCTGGGGCCGATACCAATGCCGAACGGGGCGACCATCCGGGAAAGAAAAAAAAAGGGAAGACAATCAAAAGCAAAAGTGACAAGAAGAGACCCCAATGAGGCTGCATGGAGAGTAAGGAACCGAAGCAAACAATTAGTCGAATTACTGATTGGCGAGAGCCTTTGGAGGCTTGTTGACAAGGGAAGACGTCTCGAAAATGTCTCCAGGGTGAGTTGCACTTCACTTCCAGGGCCAATATATGATGCCTCCAAAATCGGTCCGTTGAGCTTTCAAATGAACCACGGCTCACCTCGCGTCTCTAAATCCTCGTCAACTCCTCATTTCGGTCGCCTCGTACCCCCACTGCACTATTGAGAATATATCGTGGACTATAACTAGCACTTTTCCTTCAATCTCCTTCTCTTCTCCTCTTTCTTTGAATTACTTCGACGCTGGTGGGTTTGCCTACTACTCTACTCGGGTGTGACGCAGTCTCGTTGGCCGACCGGTTCAATCGACCATTCATTCCTCCACTGGCTCAGCCCGATAGATCGACGTTAGCCGTCCCTGGAGTATATTGCTCGCAGGAGTTAGCAGAGAACTAGGCAGGTTTCGTGACATTGTCGACCAATCTATTGAATACGAATCACCTCCTGCTATCCATTTTTGACCGCCTTTCGCCAGCTATTGTGCAGCAACCAAGGCAGCACGGGTTTCCTACCGACGTCCGTGTGCCCGACGCCCTGCGCTCAGCTGGGTTTACCGGTGCTGTGATAGTCCAATATCTCCTCTCCTCGAAACTAGCTGCTTCTATCACCATTTCCAAATATTGGTGGCCGGGTCGCGCCTAGTGTCAGCAGATCCGCACTCCCTGAATTCAACTTCAGGGCTGATCAAGGAATTGCAAGCTTAGTGTTTCCGCCTAAGAACAGGAAGTCCGACCGCCACGGTGGCTGATGCGATTCAAATCCCTGCACAAGGCTCAGGTCCTAGATCTACAA